GTAGAATAACCATGAAACATTTTCACTCTCATCTGTTTCAGTTTTTGATTATTTGACAGTTTTTGCTCGCTTTTCCAACAAATTAATTACTGTCCTCAAGAGCAGATAACAAGCTGACATAAGCGATTTGAACCATTTTTCCTTCTGCCCAAACTGTTTTCTCTGGAGTTTCTAATATGATAAAGATGAGGATATGGATATTATGGATTACAATATTGATCAATCTGAGCAGGCTATCACATTCATTCATGGAGGCTGGAGGCCCCTGCAATGGCGTAAGCATTGTGCCATCGATTGTACAAAGCAACTGGATTCTCTGAATAGCACATGTAGCTGGCATGCCATTGGAGGGGGCCTTGTAAGTGTGCAGTGATAACGTACTCTGCTCGGTCTATCTGTACATTTATGACCTATGCAACGGCAACTCTACGGCACATTTGAGAAAACAAGGTTTTCAAATTCGCCATGTATGGGCGGCCAAATATACCAACATGCCAGCTTTCTGAAAAGCAGTGAATAAATCTGTGTTCTGTGTGTATTTTCCTGGTTGTCTAAACTTGCCTTTGGTAAGCAGCAGGTGGGTAGTTCCTTGTCGACAAAAGTCGCTCATGGTAAGGAAAGGGTTAAATTAGATCCATCTCCGTACATGGATAGCAAATGGTGCTTCCGGACCAAATTTGTCAGAGCTCTAGTAGGAGGGATGCACCATGTGTACTAGCTCACGGGCGTACGACGCGAAGTACGCAGGATGAAGTTTATTCTAAAATGAGCAGTGGCATTTTTGCATAAGCCTCAGATCCCGACGGCAAGGTGTTCATGAGTGCCTCCCAGTGAGCACCTCCAACTTTCTCCTTGTGACCATTTAGAGGGCACTTGTGCATGGAGCCTATAGCAGCTTACGCAGTAATAAATGACATTTGTTAGAAATATATCCGTTTTTGATTTATAGGAATAAAAACATGTTAACAGACCTCTTTAAGTTAGAATATTTCAATTAGGCACAAACCACGGTAGATTCTTATGGGTAAGATTAAAGACACTACTTGCTTACCCTACACGGACTTTCGTATGGTATCCATTGCGACTAAAACAATCCAGGCTGTACTCAGGAAGAACTCTGCAAGTCACACGCTGTCAAGTACAATATTCACACTGTACGCTCACATCAGCCAATGTCACTGAAAGTAGGCTGGGTAACAAATGAACGCAAGTTTTTGTGTTCACCACACTACTTATTCACTCACACCATCTGGAAAGATCACAAGTAACTTCCAAGCAGGCACATATTCTAAACAATCCACGGGGCATACATGGAGATGTATGTCGTGTCTCCGAATGAGAAACAGGAGTGCTTTGCGTTGAGTGATCAACTTCTTGATGACTTTTAACTCTTGGTGTCTGCTCTCCGAAGATCCAGCTGTAATTTGGACCAGATCTGGGGAACGGAAGTGCCGTTTAGCAGCACCATCGGGCGAAGTACCCCGTGTACCAACCAACACCACGTTTCCTACACGCACACACACATACACATGGTGACACATCACCCAGGAATCAGGCTGGGAAGGAGGGGGGGGGGTGGCTGGGGAAGTTCCTCGATCGGATGAGCTCAACGACAACTTTAGAGCTGAATAGAACGTTTACATGTGAATCCTGCAGTGTCACTCTTGAAAGACGACAATCTCTGCCGCGGCTCGAAGCAGTGATCTCCGAGAGGGGTCTGGCTTGTATCAAGGTTCATGAGAGACTTGTCCAAGTCAACCCATGAGTCATCTGGAAAGGCAACCTGCGACTAAACGAAGAGAGTCTACAGAGCATCTAGTGCCAGACTAGAGGAGTATGCATCGTGTATTATTACTTACAATTACTGGAGACACTAGGCTGCCCTCGGGTCGACCTTGCAACAACACGGAAGAGGCGGCGACTGACTTTTCAGGATCAAGCTGCGCCTGAGCTATGACCGTCTGAATGTGCACACACCTGTAGGGTCTTCACGTGAACGTCAGTCACTGTCGGCAATGCATTCAAATGTCCCTCCCAGCGGTCTCCCCCAACTCTCCCTTTGTAACCGTTGAGGGGGTACATGGGCAGGGAGTCGGTAGTGATTTTTAGCTGCAAAGGCTTGGCATAATTGTACATAAAATTCTGGAGCCAAAAGCGACCCTCTTTTTATGCCAAATGTTCGTTATAACAATATCAGGGACGAGATTGTCAATTTAAAAAAAAAGTCTGAAAATTGGATGAAAGGTCTGAAAAACTGTATAATGGTGTATTCGTTTGTATTCATATTCTGTTTGTATGTGATTGTACGTTGTTTTTGATTATTTTTTGTGGATTTGTTCTTGCCTTTTAAACTGTTTTTCACACACGGGGTGTTTAATTTCATGTTTTTAATCATGATGGTTAATAATACATTGAATTGAATTGAAAGATGCATTTCTTTCTATACTGATAACATCTTTCTCTCAGACTCAAAAAGTCCGATTTCAGACAAAAGCCTGAAGCATCTCAAGCCTGCAATATTCATATTGGCATTCTTATGTATACTTCAATGGACACTATAGTGTTGATGTTAGGTGAGGCAATTCGCTCAACCCCATTATTTTCAGTTATTTGTTATTTTTTCATTTTTTTTGTTAATACCCAAGTTAGAATGATCAGAACATTAAGTGATGCCGTCTCTGATTGTGAAACTAATAAAAAAGCAGGCCAGCAAGTTTAGCCATCATTTTCCAATAAGCAGGATTTGGACAACACGGTACAGGGGACTGATGCAAGTCTACTAGTTATAAATAACCGGCCTCTGACTTGGGCCGGAGGGGACTGATTGCAAGTTTACTTGCTATAAATAACCGGTCTCTGAATTGAAGTGGTTTCCTGCAGTCGACCAGCTGGTGCAGCCAGATGTCTGAAGCGGGTTTTGATGTATTTTTGTCGTGTCTGGGTTCAGGCTCAGAAGCAAGATAAGTCAACCTACATGTAATGAAGCTGCACACAATTCTATTCAACTGATTCGGAAAGGCTACAAAATTGGTACAATGAACTGCAGCAGTAATGTGATGGAACTAAAAATCGGTTGTCGCCGTTTGCATGGAGACTTGACTTACTGCTTAAACATGTTATTGTATGGGTACATGAAACAAGCGGCACCAGACTCATGCACACTTGGTGAAGTCAACTATCTTCAGTCTCCTGACGATGACTAGAGCAGGCTAGTCGAAACGTTGAGACCAAAGACAAGTTTGTTTAGAACTTACAGCAGGACTGTTCTTATCAGAACAAAAAAAAAAACTACTTAGCAAAGTTGATAATAAGCAGGACAAGTTCTTTTTCAGAACTAATATCTTCTAAGCAGTAGTTATTACCACATGGTGTCACCGCAAACCGAAACGATACACTTGGTGTAGCTGCTACAAGACATACATGATACAAGATGTACACAAATAGGCCAGCTTCATAAAGCTGCTCCCAGACCAGTGTGAAGTCACAAGTGACAGTCAGTCAGTTTTGTAGGTAAATAGTCAAGTCACAAGTAACAGTTAGTCGGGGAGTCAGTCAGTCAGTCAGTGAGTGAGGTACTAAGAGGACTCTAGGCTGGTCCTCTCGCGAATCTTTTTTCCCACACGACATCCGCTTTCCATCTTCTGATTGGTCCATTACATGCATAACTAATGCCTTGTTCTCCATGACACAAACCCAAGATAGGCTTTACGTCTTGTGAGAAATGCTCCTTCATCACTTTACTCATTTAAAAGGTAAAATGAGAAGAAGTGAAAAACGCTCACTGAGATTTGAACTCGTATCACCTGATTAGAAGTCGGGACTTCTTTCAACCTGTCCGCGAATGAGCTGCCAATCAGTGGTGGTTTAAACACTATTATACCTTGTTATATAACTTATTCTCTAATTTCCCTGGACATCATGAATATGCATAACGCAGAGAAAGTGCCCTCTTTTGATATTGTCCGATCTCGAAAAGAAATTTCGCGGCCCTCTCTGGGACCAACAAAAAGGTAGGGTAACAAACACACAAAATCAGAAACATGGTCATTAAAATGGACCCCACAAATGGAGAGTTATGAATCAGTATAGATGATTTCAACAATTCTGAGTAGTTTTTGCCCAGCCCCTACATCCAGGAATCGTACATTTTCACGCAAAGAAAACTTCCAACAGAGGCGCTATCGATGTAAAATCTCAATTTCTAAAACAAACAAAACTACAGTGACTTGTAGTGAATGTCAGTGACTTTTTAAGGCATTTACAATCTAAGGTTTTTTAGTTCAAAAGGACTGATAGAATTCTGACTTGTTTCCTGAGGCATGATTCCTGCAGACCTCTACCTCTTCAGACTCCTGAAGTTAATTTTGTAAAGTTTCCTTTTTAAGCAGGGGGAATTACAAGTTAACCCATTAGCACTTGTATTACATTGTATAACACTGTATTACATTGTATAACACTGTATTACATTGTATTACATTGTACCACACTGCATGAAACCATAGAGAGCTGGGCGGTTAGTGGCGGTGTCACATGAAAATCCGACTCCTATGAAAATCGGACCCCTTTTCCCTTTTATTGGTTAATCCCTCTCACGTGACCGGTCACTTTCCTAATTATCATACTTACGCATGCGCAATATTACCAATGAGTCCGATTTTCATAGAAACGTAAATTCACGCTACAGCGGTATAAGGTGTAACAGGCAGGGTACTTCGGGGCAGTACAGGGACTAATATGTCAATTGCTGTCAGTGAGTTCCATGTTTATCTTAAAAATAAAACCTATACATTAAAACCTATACGAATTTTCTGACAATTCGCCTGAATTTTCTGACTTCCCACAATCGCCATGTTACGCAAAGAGGTTAATGGATAGTCGCTTGAACAACACAGACTGCACAGATTCTTCCCAATGGGACAGCTATAAAGGACAGTCACTGCCTGGCCGCAAGACCTGAATGACGTCAGTTGATACCACAACGTGCGTCATTTGTCACTTACCTCGGTGATGTCTGGAGACTCCGTCCATGGCTCGGGGACCCTCGAGTCGATGGGCGATGACGTGGCACTCGGACCTGCCAAAGAGAGAAGGGAGGGGAGCAAAGAGTTGGGTTAGATGAGCATATTCTAACCAGAAAAAAATACAGCAAATGGTTTTAACAAGTTCAAGTTAGGCCGAGTGGAAAGGCTGCCTTATGATTGCAAAATGAAAGCGCTACACTGAAGTCCTTCATAGTTTTGTCGAGTCCATCACAAGTCCTCACAAGTTACTCAACCAAACTGTGACAAAAGCAGTCCTTCCTCCCCGGTTTCTAATGACTAGTCCCGTGAAAGGATCTGTGATGGACTCGACTTCAACACTGGTCCTGCAGGCTTCAATTGCATTAATCATGTTATCACTGACCATGCTAAACACAACAAAATCCAACGAGGAAATGTTTTCATTTAGACTGTGACTTAATAACAACAGAGATTTCATCTAATACCCTTGCATAGATCAGGACTACTTCATTTATTGTACATTCCATCCTTCCTTTGGAGGGGCGGGGGGGGGGGGGGGGGGGGTGGGAGGAGGGTAAACCCATTTTTGGCGTGGAAAGGAAATTTGATATACATGTAAATTGGAAACAAACTCCTAAAAACAAACAGAATAGTTTCCACAGAGGTGGCTAAAGCCTAAAGCAAACAGAATCTCAACTTCTGGAATTTACATCATGGCAACTGGTTGCAATCAGTAACATGTTTTAACCCATTAGCAACTGTACTACATTTAACAATTGTTGACTGCTGTGATGTGGAATATGACGTTTTGAACACCCGAGGGGTTCGTCTCGGGTGCTTTACGCCCCTCTGGTGTTCAAAACGTCATATCCAACATCACACGGCAGTCAACAATTATTTGTTATACCTCTGTCTTGGATTCTTTGGATTTGATGTAAAACTCACGAAAACAAACAGCAGTAAACACAACAATCATGACGATCGAACGTCAACTCACATGCATGTCGCGTGCTCGGAACAGCTGATTGTCTGCTAGTTCACTGCTCCCACTCATGTGTGAAAATATGGTGAAAATAGCGTGGGTACCAACGATACAAGCGTTTCACACCGTACAATGTACGTACCGTACGTACAAAGCCAGGGAGTGTGCCAGGACTTTTTATAAACTTAACACGTGATTGTTCTAGGCCAATGAAAATACAGTATTCAAGACAGAGGTATAACAATGTATTATATTGTATATAAACCTTGATGAATCCACAAAGCCACAGAGTGCTGGGGCCGTTTGGGGCGGTTTGGGCTGTATAAGGAGTAACAGGCGGGGCACTTTGGGGGAGGTACAAGGACTAACAACTTAATGTTTATAACATTTGGCAGTATTAGCAGCCAAATGCTTTTGTGTCAGTGTTTAAAGAAGACAGCTTGACGTCATACACAGCAATGACAGCTTAATACCGGATGTGGACTGCAATGGTGCACGCCATTTCCTGCCTGTTATTTCTCTTGGCTATTGTCCAAGAAATATGAGTATGTTTTTGTAAGCATTTGGTACTCAGCACAAATGCAGAGTAACAGCATTCACATTTATGGTAGAGGATCAGACCAAAAACTGCTCAGACATAATGCACTAGAAGAACGTCAGATTCCATCACTAACTTAAATATGCATGTACAGACGAAAGGTTGACGAAACACAACCTTTTTGTTTGGCCAATTAAGATCAGACCATATCCCATGTTCAAACTAAATTTGTTGTCTCCACTTGTGTGCCATTAGTTTACTGAACAGTATTGTTGTGCAAACCCGACCCGAAAGCAAAACCGACCCAACCCGAAACCGACTTCTGGTTGGGTCGGTTCAGTTTTTCCATCATATCAGTCGGGTCGGGTGAGTTTCGGTTTTGTGTTTGCAATTTTCAGGTTGGGTCGCTTCGGTAAACCTATCTGTGAAAAACCCGAAATAAAGCATCATATCAGTCGGGTCGGGTGAGTTTCGGTTTTGTGTTTTCGTGTCAGGTCGGTTTCGGTTAACCCATCTGTGATAAACCCGAAATAAACCGAAACAGTTTTGAAATTCACATGGTGGAATAATACTGCAGTTACTGTGCCCCGCTACGACCGACGTCAACCCACAGAGTGAATGTGCACGTGGTTTGCAGTCTATCACGCACAGTCTATAACGTGTATGTCCACCAGTAGGTCACGTCATGAGTCTTCACCGTACCATATGGTATGAAGAGACACAGATGCCCAAGCCAGATATTCAGGTTTTTTCGGGTCGGTTTGGTTTTGGGTTGGTTCGGATCAGTTTTTACTTGAATTTTTGTTGGGTCGGGTCGGATCGGGTTGGGTTCGGATTCGGTTTATATCTTTAATGTTTCGGTTCGGTTTGGCCTGGTCGTCAACCTGACCCAATGCACAACATTACTGTACAGTTTCGGATTTTGACAGATTCAAATAGTTTCCAAACAAAAAATAACAAGGAAGTAAAAGTTAAGGAGCCAAGCTGTAAAAACTCAATAGGTTTATGTGGGCAATCACACATGCGACTCTCCAATGCCACTCTGAATGTTCAAGTCGTCTGCGTCATATGCATGTGCACACGTCAGAGTTTTGTGCACGGATAGTCAGACTTGAATCACAGCTGTCATTGGTCAAACACCACGGGGGGGGGGGGGGGGGGGGCCTTAATGAATTGGTCTATAGATTCTTGATTGGTCATCAAAGAGGCCCATAGACTTTTAGAATGCTGCCACCATTTCAGTCATGTTCCCTGTATCCAATCACAGTACTGAATGATAATGTGTTTTGTGCAAAAAGGAACCAGACTATTTTTCCTTCAAGCCAAGCTTTGTTCAAGTTGATTTGAATGGGACAAAATCAAGCTGGCCGCATCATGATAATTGTTTATACCTTGACCTGGTGAGAGTTCCACCGATTGTTTCGATGACTTTGGAGTCAGAATTTCTTTGGCATCGTGGAATTCCTCCTCGCTGTTCACGTCCAGATGACCCATGCTTTTACTGCAGGATTAATTGTTCAAAATATATATCATTAATAATATTTCATTTCTGAGTATATAATTAATAATCACTACAAATGTGACCCAACTCAACAAAGCGAAGATGGGAGAAGCGTAAACAACTTAGATTAAAATTTAATCTTTTACCATGGTTTGACTAAGGTTCATCCAATTCAACCTAGTCAACAATGGTTTAGACAAGTCTGTTCAACTATCAAGCCTACCAAAGTTGGTTGCATCACTGGTAATCAACAGCTATGCCTATTAATGCAATGCACAGCAGGGAACCAGGCATGAGAAGTTTCACGATAACATGTGACTGATTTTTTTAACTCATGCTGTTCAAATTTTGCTATTGGCATGTAGACACAGGGATGAGATTGTCAATTTAAAAGAAAGTCTGAAAATTGGATAAAAGGTCTAAAAGATACCTTTCTTTACACATTGATAATGTTTTCTTTCAGATTCAATTGGTCTGATTTCCGACAAAAGTCTGAAAAATCTCATGCCTTGTAGGCATTAGTTACATCATTGACTGGTCAACTACAGTGTTGTGGTACTCGTACTCGGTACTTGTACTCAAGTACAACTCGACTAATTTTTTAGAATACTAGCATTTGCACTCATACACGAATATCAAAATACTCGTACTCAAACTCACGGTACCCAAAGGTATTCCCTCAGAAACTGAGAATTTGGAATATTGTAAGAGCAGCATAACACACAGTAATAAATAATTAAAATAAAGAGGAATCTTTGAGAGGGGCATTTCTTTACCTTCTTAAGGCCAAACTCAGGGGTAACCCATCAGATTCTTGGGATTCCTCGGAGGGGCTAATGATGACCTCATCGGTAGGTCCCCAGCTGTGCCGACGCACCCTCTGAGGGTCCTCTATGTCCAGTAGGTCCTCCGACGAATCATCTGGAGAACTAGAAAAGAGACAAGAGTTGGAGAGAGGAGAAAATCAGGGAGGATGGGACCTCGAGGTCATCGCTGCAAACTGATTGCATGTTTAAATTTAATCTTTTACCATAGTGGTCTGAAAGGTAAAACACCCTCCAGACATCAAATCTATCTGTATTCAAACCTAGGTCATATGTACAGCTAGAAGCCCAAGTTGCAACCCGACGCCACTTTTTTCTTCAGATATCATCTCAATGAAGGTCAGTCATTGCAAAAATGATGATAAGACATGAATCTGGGACTGAGAAACATTTCCAATTTGTTAGGAAATACTTAAAAAAATTTCCATAGACTCTGTACACAACCGCTGAAGTGGCATCAGGTTGCATCATTTTTTCCGGAATCTTTGCTTTTAACAAGACAAGGCAAGCCTAGCAAAGCTTGTCTCAGAGCACACAAAATTGTTGTTCAATTCGCTGGAATAGTTGTGACATCACTCGGAGGTCAACTCGGTGCAACCATGGTTATTGGTTCAAGCGCACTGCAACGGCCCAGTGAGCACCATGGTTTCGCTTTGGCTGTTGTGAATCCATTTCACAATGGGCTTGATTCTCCTCTTTGAACCAAAACAAAAAGATGTAAAACTACTGTCTGCGCTCGTACGTGTTAAACGTATGTGAAATTTGTGGTTATAGAATGCACATGTACCGTTGTCAATGAAGTAAGCCTAACTTGGGTGAGGGTGACGTCACACTTTCTCAGCATATTGATTCAGAGTGGCTAAAAAGATTGTAGAATAAGCTGTAGTGGTAACGCGATAGAAATAAAAAATTGACTTTTGCTGTTTGTATGGAGACTTGACCTATTGCTAACACATTTGCCACGAAAGTACACTGTACATGAAACAAACGGCACCAGAGTTTTTCTTCAGGTTGCAGGTGCCTAAATAAGTAAAACAGTACGTTTTTTGTACAAAAAAACCTAAAGAAGTAAAGCAGTACGTTTTGTGTACAAAAAAAACCCAACATCTGGTAGCACCCCTTTAACAGAAATTGACAAAATGGGGAACCGCTAACATAAGGCTGTATAGCTCAGTTGGTACAGCACTGGCACAATATTCCGGAGGTTGCATGTTCAAACCCCACTCCTACCAGTTTCTTTTGTTCAATTCTATAACTAGAACAATCGTAAAGCCCGGTTCATACTCGGCACGAAAGTGAAAGCGAAAGCGAATTTGTGAAGTCGAGGCAAGTATTCGCGCTACAAATTCGTTAAAGTTGAACATATTTCAACTCGGGCGAATTTCGCAGCGAATGTTTCATGACGTCAAACTCACTTCGCATTCGCATTTGTGTGAAGTATGAACCGGGCTTCAGAATAATAAAATTGAATTTGTTGGACAGCACGGACGGCACATCTTTAAGAACTCTTCAAATGGTCAATTCAGAGCCTGCGTTTACCTGCTTCCATTTAACCTTGACGGCGACACTTGACCCGAGGTGACGTCCTCCGACCTGCCAGGGTCGCTGCTCACACTGACGTCATTCACGTGGATCCTGACAGACTGTGTGGCGGACCCTTCCCCTGCTGATGGGACCTCCTCGAAAACTGGAGCTAAGAATGTGAAAACATGCCAATAATTTGTTAACTGTTGGGAAAAATTTTCATGACAATTTAAACTCATTAGCCCTAATGACTCCATAAAACTATAGAGTGATGGGGCGGTTTTGGATGGTTTGGAAGGAGTAACAGGCAGGTCAGTTTGGGGCGCTACAGGGACTTGTGGGCATTTCAACGTTATAGAATTTGGAACTTTGATTCTGGAAATTTTTCCCCCTGAATTTTCGAATCGGGAATATCAGTTTTACTGAGCCAAGTTTGGCCAGTTAAAATAACCACTACACTCACAAAAAGGAAAGGAGAGAAGGTTTCCTTGACTGTCCACACTGGAATTATAATGTGAAAAGTAACCATGGTCTTGGTGATTTTTACCCCCAATATATCCAGTGCGAACATAGCTTTGTTCAGGTTTAAAGACAAAATTGGAGACTGAAATCGCAGGAATTTGGATTTTGTTTCAACGGTTGGTAAAATCTGTGAACAGGTTTGGAATTGTTTTAACCCTAACTCCCTTGGCATTTTGCATCTTTCCTAAAACCTCCAAAAACTTCCGATTTGTAGGAAAATCAAAGACACATGCTTTGTACATAAACTTTCAAGTCGCATGCAAAGTAATAATGTCCGGGCTCATCAACTTTGCTGAAACTGACAAAATCCTCTGAAAACTACAAATGAATTTTGAAGGATTCGGGAGGGTAACGGTTGAAGAGTCAAACAGCACATCCATACCCGAGGCGTTTTCTGAAAATTCGTTCATCAGAGAGGCCGCCTCGTGGGCCACTGGAGGGCTGTCGTCATGGGCCCGGGGTAGGGATCGGGCCTGGGCTTCCTCGTCTGGTTCCTCCACTTCTTCCTCTTGCTCAGCCTCCTCGTCGCTTTGGAGGTAGCGGGTACCAGCGGCCGCTTCCTCCCTCATTGGAATGTCTGTGTGGGACCATCCAAGAAATGGGAAAAAAATATTCAAATTGGGTTTTGGTCTTCACAACGAAGTTTCATGAGCACTGTATACTCAGTGCTGTCCAAGCGCTTGGGAGAAAAAATTCACAGGCTTACTCAGGTAGGACTTGAACCCATGACCTCCTGCTTACTAGAGTGGACGTCTTACCACTCAACCACCAGGCACGCAGGGATCAGTTGGTTGGTTTGAATCCAATATAACAGGGGTACCGCAACCTTTTAATTGCAAAAATGGTTGCTAAACTGTTGTAAGGACAGTTCATGCTCGCATTACAAGTGAACGCAAGTTGAAATTCATGACATCAATGCAAAGTATTCGCTCAGTGAATTTGCATTATTGAAACGTGTACGAACTCTGGCAAATTTCGGTACGAATGTGATGTCAAATTTCCATGACATTTGCACAGATCTTCATGCAACGCTTTTGGATTGCTTCTTTACATTGGCTATGGATAGCACCACGTCATGGTGCTTTGACCACTCACAGCTGTGGTCGATGGCCAACATGCATGACCAAAAGTCTGACATGCATGCACATGTGTGACGGGAACATGCAGTGTGGCATTGGGGAGGTGTGCATGTTTGTCCACATGTGCAGTGGGCGGGGACAAGTGGGCGGGGACAAGTAGGCGGGGACAAGTAGGCGGGGACAAGTAGGCGGGGACAAATGGGCAGGGCTTAATGGACAGATCTATTGTTTGACTGATACAGACCCTGTTTCGTAAAACTTTGGAGGTGAGCGTTGAAGTAAATAACACTTATGTACAAAGGGTGATGTTTCTGCACACTTTTACTGAGGACTAATTTTCGAAATATTGATATATTTCATGAAAAGTGCGTTTCGATCTCTTTATATTCCCGAAAGGTCATCATAACATAAGGCACGAAAATGGCAATTTCTCAATAAAACTGTGACTCATCTGACAGCCATAATGCTACCAAAAACTGATACTGCTTTCTCATAACTACATTATACATGTACTTATCAATGTTCTGAAAGCACTGGATCTAGATCTAATGTGCTAATGTTAGAGACTAGTACCTTGTAGTCTTAGGTTGAGGACATGCTCAGAACTATAGCTTACCATAGCTCAACTAACTTCGCTTGAACAAAGGATGCTTGGACTACTCTAGTCAACTATTTGGAACCGGACCACAGGGCACCGTTCCATCACTGATAACCAATAGCGCCGTGCATTATAAAGTGCAACGGGGAGCCAGGATCGTTTGATGACGTTTTGACCGTGGTTTGACTAGAGGCATTCGCACATTGCTATGAGTGCGCAGGCGTAAGTTACATCACAAATCAACCACTAGTCGACTAATGGTCATTACCCGAACCTGCTCATTGAGGGGGGCCACCACGGTCATGCGCATGTAAGCATGCATTCTTAAATTTAAGGTGCGCATGAATTTGGGCAGTTGTAACCGCGGCCCCTGTGCAAGCAGGGTGACACTTCAATGATGTTGTTGTGATTTCCAGATAAGTCCTATTGATGCTTTCAATGCGTTACAATAGACCTGAATCATAATGGAATCACGTTTTGTTTACACAAAGTGTGATGATACTATGATTCAGGTCTGTTAAGTACCTTGTTGACAGCAAAACTTAACAATTCCAACAAGATCAGGGAAGCATTTGTGAAAATTGAAACCCGTCTTTGATTAAAAAAAAAAAAAAAACCCAAAACCGCAAAAGTGACGTAACAAATTTCTAAAAAAAATATATAAATAAAGCAAAATTGATGGAATGATTTTTTTTCAATAACACCATAAAAGATTTTGGCCATTCAGAATTTGGCTGTGTTTTGTTATTAGCTGTAGTAAATATTGACAGCATCTTTTTTCTTGCGTAGGCATGACAAGCTATCAGACAGCAGTCGCGTATGATCAATACGCAAAGTATGACCTCCCCCGAAAAAAAACATTGTTGAGACTGAAAACATTAACAGTCATGCTGCAAATGTATGCGTGCTTGTGCAATCACATACTTCACTCACTTACTGGAGAGAAAAAAGAAGATAGGTGGGAAAAATCAATTGCAACTTTCAAATGCCAATTTTATTAGATTAACGCGGCTTGCCGGTCTGAAATGTTGAGAACGCGAGACCACGAATGTGATCATGTGCAACTGACGGCGTCTCTTGGGCCATGTCCTCTGTGGAATGCGTGGATAGCCAGGTGGGACAGGTAGGTGGGAAATTAACTGCAAGATTTATGGTTCATGCAAGAATTTTGTTTTAATTTTTTTTAAAAACCTTTAGAGGGAAAACTTTCTTCTACAGAACCGTTTACTTTTGGAGCATTTTTTTTGGGTTAAATTGTTTTTAATTGCTCAAAATCTCAAGTGGGGTGTATAACTAACTTGTTCAAGTTTCAGTTCAATAGATGCTCTAAATGTTAAGAATACAGGGAAAATCTAAGTACAACTTTTTGGACCCGAGTCCACCGCTAACACTTGCCATTCAAAAGAGGCTGTTTGATATTTTGAACTGCATTCTCTTGTTATGTGTACTACTCCAAATCAGCATTCAGGACATGATTCTCATTCAGTCGGTTTGAGTATGTGACATCGAGGTCCCAGTGGATGGGTACTCCTCCCAGTACTTAAACGAGTGTCGTATAATATGAAAAAGATGTGCCTGTGGGCGCAGTTTTTTAAACCACTTTCAGTGGTTGTTTTCTTGCTAACGTTACCATTTCATAATAATAATTTCAAAGGTTATTTGATACCAGTTCTATTTCGCCTTGAGCAACATTTGTCATTAAAACTTTGAATCAAAGCTTTTTTGGAAAAAAAAAAATGTAATTGCTAACCACAAGTCCCAGAGCCACTTAAAAGACAGATACTTCAAGAAATTAGTAAAAAAAGAGAAATCATCATTGGAAGTGCTATAAGGATAAAAATATTGCTCTGTTACTATTCATCTTCTGTTACTTTTGACCTGACTTGTTATTCAACTTGTTATCGACTTTCTATTCGAATTGTAATTGACTTGGTCACATGACAACTGTGATGATCACCTGACTACAACTGTGATGGTCACATGACAACTCTAGATCCCAGTATAATAGAAAAAATATTGCATGTTTTACACCACTCAATTCATAAGCCCAACGACGTTTTTGTGCAAAGGATCCCCGTAGACCGTTTAACCAATTACTTCTTGTACCTCCCCAGACTGCCAGCCTGGAACCCCCTGTACTGCCCAAGACTACCCCAGCACTCTATATGGTTCTATGGCTCCACCAATGAATACATACAATGTATTAAAATACAATGTAGCACAGGAGTTTAATCTGTTCAACGCCATAGACAGCCTTATGTAAACAGCCCCCTCTTGTGAGCAGTGCAACATATTTTATTCAAGCAATTGTGGATATTCATGCATTGTGCTGGTTCGGCTGGCTTATTTTTTAAGCTTAAGCCAACATAGCTTTTGTTTTTAAACGTAAGTCCCGTTAGCATTGGACTTTTTTGAAGTAAAACAAACGGAGACTGTAGTCATTGTTATGGGGCCTTTTTTCATTGTTAAGTTAAACCAAATCAAGTCCACTTCGGACAGCCGGTAAACTTCCCAAATTGTCGACTGTCGATTGTAAGTTCTATATGCTCCGCAGCGGTAAGCTTTATAGGGCCAACCGGGTAGCGCAAGAATTACGTACATTGTTATTGCAGGCCTACAAACATTCTGTATGTGAGATTTTAACATATTTCTGCTGTGTTCTGCGATATTATTTGGCACGTTTTTCCACGACCACATCCGGTGTCAGGTAAAAGAGGTCAATCGCAGGGTGCCCTCGTAAGATTCTGCGGTAAACTTTACGCAACAAATGACTACCTGCGTTAACTTCCAAAGTTAATTCAAGCGCGGACACACGGTAGAATATTAAACCACAATTGCATGTTAACAATTACTCACAGTATCTTTTTTTACCAAATTAAGTCCACTGGCGGAGATGTAGCCAGAATCAAAAAGAAGTTTTGAAAACTAGCCACGAGTTGCTTTGAATTATTCGGTCTTTTGAATTATTTATGGTGTCTGGTGATGGCATGATATTTGAGCATCAAAAAATTTGTGACAAATGTGGACAAATGAAGGCACATAAATGCATGGTTTTATGGATGGCAGTGCTGCCTTGCGTGCAATGGAGTACAGCATTTTTCCCTTCACGTATGCAGTTATACCAATCTTTGACTCAATGCAACATACTTCTGAAGCTTTCCTACAGATGTCATTCTCCTTTATGTTGAAAAAAACTTCTACAAAATCTATGCTGGCAAAACAAGGTCATAAATGTTTATTCAAACTACATGTAGTTAGTTCAGCTCTCTACAACAGCCATTCAAAATTTTAGTTTGGATCTAGTTCCTAATTCTGAACTAATTCCTAAATTTCTGAATAATTCCTAAAAACCAACAAGCAAGGACCTTTTTAAAATGATACTTTTTTAGTGTCCTGCTGTTTGGCTTGACTATGTAGCAACTATGTGGCGATTGTGTAGTTACGGGCCCTCTTTCATTTTGGAGTATTTTTACCATTCCAAAATTTCCAAAATTTCCATTCGTATGCATTTTCTCAGTTGATACCATGCAAATCAACGCCGTGTTGCGTTCTCTCTGTACACATGCCGTGCATTGCAGTGATCACCATCTTTATTTCTGTGTTGCATTTCATTGTCGTCTTCGTAGTTTTGTCCCAAAAGATACCTTTCAAAGATTTAAACCATGCCCTCTATCCACTTTTAAAGATTGCTAACTAGTTTGGTGAGACCAATATCCCTAAAAGTGGTTTTCTTTCCCTTATAGGAACGGGGCCAACTACACAATCACCAACTATGTCATACCAGGCCTATGGCATTACTAGAATATTACTTGCACAGTTGGAATATAGAAATCTATTGCCTTCCACTTAGGGCACTATAACGCTTAACTACCTGTACTTGCAATGAAACATCTGTTGGGAGTGCAGCCTTGTGTTAAAGACAATTGGCTCTTTGCTCACCATCACTACATGTATATTGCTAAAAAAAAAAAAGCATGGATGCATTTGCGAAACAAAGACTTTTTCAGTTCCAAAGCTAAATTTGCAAGCTTCTTGCAAGTAGAGCCTCCTTTTCCCGTGGGCGCATGATACCGTGGGGCATTGTCGGTGCTAAAGCTATGGGTCATGATGCTAAGTGTAACAATGGTGTGCAAGATTAAAATGTTGAACGTCAAGAACGTCAGTTTACCTAACATGTGCATATATGGAGGCGGAGTCAACACAATTCCTATCGTGAGAGAATGAAAACAATCAACAAGATTAGTCAACATTATTTACCGTTTGTTCCTGATGGTATAATTTTCTTGAATACAGCATTATTCAAAACCATTAAAACTTTAACCTTCAGTAAAGTGGCGAATGCAGGGCTTGTTCACAACCTTTTTAGGGGTTGGGAAAATAGAGTTGCCTCAATCCCTTTGCTTGTTCTTTCTGTTGATTTCCCACAAAAGGAGAACATAGTTGCTCCAAGACCAGACAAACCTAGTACAGCTGGTCACGGTTTGGACTGAGAGGTCTAGGTAGCCATCCGAGTCAAATTTTTGGTCAAGATGAGGGTTATGTAAGTCTTAAGTGACAGTCAGTCAGTGAGTCAGTGAGTCAGTCACTGAGATAGGTACATGTACATGGAGACTGGAGGCTGGCCCTCTGGGACCAGCGATGTCATTTTTTGACCAAGGTGAGACTTATGCAAGTCTAATTCACAAGTGACAATCAGTCAGTCCATGGACAGTCAGTCAGTCACTGATGGTGCGTTCAAGTAGCTCAACTGGATCGACTCGGGTATAGACAGCTGGGCTAGCCACGAAAGCCGGGCTAATCGAACACTCCGGCGCAGGCCATCACGATCCTCACGTGACGTCCATAGCCGTGGCCGCAGCCACTGACAAAACGCACTGCTTTTTCAGTCAAATGCAAAACTCAAAAAAGTTGGGCTGGAAGTTTAGCCTCAAAAGTCGCAATGAACTCTAATGATTACCTTTAGGCCTACAGACTTCAAATATAATTAATTTTTAAGTCCACTTCACATTTCCGCTGTCCTGCCGCCATATTTGTCCATTTCTTGGAATAAATAACGCATGCGTGTGACATATTTCCACCACTGACTCTGCTCCACGAGCAGGGTCTGTAGTGGCTGACCCGGGTGAGCCCCGAGAATGACGTCAGAGCTAATCAAACGACACGGAGCTGACCTGTGTCGACCCTGGTGAGCTTAACAGACGCACCCTGAGATAGGTACACAGATACTGGAGGCTGGCCCTCTCGGACCAGCGAAGTCAAATTTTTGGCAAGGGTAGGGAAAATGACTTTACTAGTACATTAGTACATGTTTAGGCCTATTAAACATGAAGAAATCTCACCATTTGCAAAAGTTTGGTTAAAAGAATTTTCTTTAGCAAGAAATAATGGCGAATTATAAGGGACATCTTTACAATTTAATATTTTTTTTATCTTTCTAAAAAAAAAAAACAAGGTCAAGGGTAGAGAGATGGAGGAAACTTGACGAGTACTTCAACTTACCAGTCCTCAAATAAAAAAGTCATTTTGCCTCAGCAGGTCACGTTTCAGATCACAGTATAAAATGGAAAGGCGTTCATTTACATGTAATAATAACATTGATTAAATTCAGGCTGGCCAATACTGTTTATACACGTACATGTAGGTTACTCTTCTTAAGCCAATAAAGTATGCAGGGCAATAAATGCCACTGATTTAGAGTCCATAATATGAATCCTACTGACCCTTAAGTTCAGTGGAAATTTTACGACCCGTGAAAAATATCCCCCAGGAAGTCACGGTCAGCCCCGTAAAACTGACCTGCGGTCACACATTAAGGCCATTGATGACCGCTCACCGAGGCCGAAATTGTCTTCAACAAAAGGGGTTTGAAAATCATTACAAGACGACGTTAAATTTGTGAAGTTTTATGAAAAACGTGAGGCAATCCAACAAAATGAGTTTAAAGTCAATGCAGCTGGGCTACTCTTCAGTAATAGGCCCCAATCTTGCATAAAACCGAAAGGAACTGCCAATGTTTTCACCCACAAAAGTTCCAATTTATCAGGATATCAAATTGAGTGATTTTTAAAAAGAAGCACTAAATTTACTCTTTCTTTGGACTAAAAAATATTATTAACCGACAAAAGTCTGATGCATTTTATTTTTGTATTTCTTGGTGTTTTTTTTAAAGATATCTACTGTTCTCAGTATTTCTTGACGGGGGGGTGGGGGGGGGAGGGTGACGAGAAGTGGCCTTGATAAAAAAATTATCAGTGTTTGACATGATAACTGTTATCTTTTCCAAGGTTTTATTTTTCTTTGGTGATTGATGGGTTAAAATGAATATAATTTTTTCACTCTCTCTCTTAATTTTTTTTATTAAGTTTTTTCCTTTCTTTCTTGTCAAAACACTACAGCTAACGGCAAGCGAGAGTGGACTGACGAATCATTCCCACTTCTCATTTGGCAATTATCCACGCAACGATGGCCCCTTACTGACAGATTCCCGCAGAAAGGGGGAAAAAAAAAAATATTCAGCTCACTCATAAAAATTCAGCTCGCTGATCACGCGCTCTCAAGCGACAGGCCATGCGGAAGACATCGAGATGAGACGATGTGTTAAATTTGTATAATTGGCGGCCGGGGCGCTGCGTACCTCCGGGCCAGCTGGGAGCGAGTGACTTCAATGCTGGCTGTATAAGTGTGACTTCGGGGGACGGGGGACGGGGGACAGGGGATGGGGGGGGGGGGGGGGTGATAATGCTTATAGAAATGGGATTTAAAATCTCACGGCTGATTCAGGAGGATTTAGATGGGATAACATATCAAATTTTTGTGAACTTCCATTTCTCACTTGAGTTGCTTCCAAGGATTTTCCTCTCTTGTTTTTTTTTTTTTTTGGGGGGGGGGTGGGGGAGGGAGGGATATATGGATGTAGGGGAGAGGGGAGAGGGGTAGGGGAAGGGGATGGTAATTGTTATATAAATATGATTTGAAATCTCATCCAGCTGATGAACAGGGTGGTGAAAAAAGAACGAAACCCACTTTTGACAGCAATTTTCACCTACTTGTTTAACATACATGTATTTCAAAAATTCAATTTAATGGTATTAAAATATTGATCTTTATTACATAAGTGACGAAAAAATGATTGCAAATGCATATTTTGTCTCTGAGGTATGGTAGTTTAAAAATTTCATGTGCCAAACCTGTTTGTCTACGGACGACTTTATTCCATCTGCTTGACTGAGTGCCTGAGTTTGATTTCAAGACAAAAAAACTAGACTAGACTTACACGTGGACAACAGTGATTTTGGTGACTTGTATTCAAATTAACATAATAACACTATTCTTGCGAATTATTTTTTAAAGATTTTTTCACTACATATGGTTGAAGAGCTATCCAGTTCATTATTGTGATGTCAGTTTAAACCATGCCCACTGGCCATTAAGTAGCATTGGAATCATTGGAACCGGAAGTTAACGCAACTTGAGTGTTTATCCAATGAATGCTAGTAATCAGTGGTGCACGCCCGTATACAACGTTTTTAATAACGAACCGGATACTTCACTGCATTATGAAGGAAAAAAAAAACAGTTCAAATAAGTTAAGTACGCAGGTTATCATTCCTGTCAAAAGTGGGTTTCCTTCTTTTTGCACAACCCTGAAGGAGGATTTAAATAACAAATACATACATGTATCTGTCTGTAATCTTTTTGTATTTCTCCTAAACACTCTTGTGAGGAGGGGGAGGGGGAAGGGTGGGGGTGGTTGGGGGGGGGTGGGAGTAGGTGAAGGGAGAGGAGTGGGTCGGGAGGGGGGAAAGTATGGTTGAATGTATGTTGATTTGAACAGGATCTAACATCCCATACCTAAACTGAGAAGAATCGGATCTGACAACAAATTCTTCTAGGATCTTTCCCTCATCCTATAGTATCCTCCAAGGATATTCTATTCCTGGAGAGAGAGAGAGAGGGGGGGGGGGGGGGAGAGAAGAGGGGTCGAAATCCAAATGTCAAACATTGATTGCTTCTGTTGTGCACACATGCAGGCGCGTCAACGGAGACAATGTGGGCCCTGCATTTAACAGTCCAATTGACCTGTCACGCTGTGCGCTGTGTTAAAAGACCCTTAAGCGCACGTGACGCGTTCTCACCTCTGGAAAGGTTACCTGCCAATTCAAGCTGTCATTACTGCTCATTGTTTAACTAACCTATTTTTGCAAAATTTGCAGTGATACAATGTACATGTTGGACATGTACATATTGAGACATTGCGACACAGCAGTTCAGTCTATTGACTGAAGCCAGGGCCCAATTTCATAGAGCTGCTTAAGCACAAAGTTTGCTTAAGCACGAAACAACATTGCTTAGTAAAATTAGGTTACCGGCCAAAACTCCATGCGTGCGATGTATATTGCTTGTGACTGGTATTTAGCGGTTGTTTACTTAGCATAACAATCGCATGGAGTTTTGGCCGGTAACCTGATTTTATTAAGCAAGATGTTTTTGTGCTTAAGCAAATTTTGTGCTTAAGCAGCTCTTTGAAATTGGCCCCAGATTGGTATTCCAACTGCGCATGTGCATAGCAAGTTTCGAAGATTTTTACGTCGGGATTAATGTGGCAGATAAATGCACATGAGTCTATGGGGACGAGGTAACCGAATCTACATTCTGCAAAAGACGATAGAAACTTTCATGTTTCATGACACACATGTACACAAATCATAAATGCACTTCACTGTCCAAACTTTTTAAACTTTTGTGCTTACTTCAGAACAAAACAATGTCTTTAATTGTTTCTGGTACCCACTGTGATTTTGCACTCGTACAACAAATTTATTTTATCCAGAAAGGACAATCGGCTTATTGACTTGGCATATAACATGTAATGATCCCTTAGCTATTTTACAGTTTTTTAAGATGGTCCCTTCATGCACTATATGCTGGCTCAGAAAGCATTAAAAAACACCATAAGGTTTTCCTTACACCGTCCCTCTGAAATTAACATGATGTGAAAGTGCAATGACATAGTGAGGCAGCATCGTGATATGCACACCAACACAATACAATACTGGACAAGGTATAGTGGTGCACCGAATAGAACGATAAATGTGAATAAAATCTTTGAAATTAATTCTCAAAAGTATCCATCTGCAGTACTTTTGCTGACCTTTTCGGACAAATGGATTGGACTTTTTTGCCTTGCCTTATATATTTGTATTTTATTGCCGTGGTATATCAGTGGGCGTACCGGTACCCTATGTAGAAATATTTTCAAAGAACAAATTTTTGGGCTCACAATTTGAACAGAATTTAATGCCTAAAGTGAAGAATGTGTGCCTTGAATGACATGGAACATTTTAAATTGAAAAAAAAAGTGCACTTCATAAAAAACTTATCACCCCAAAAAGGATGCCTCATGGCTTTCACACATTGGAGAGGAACAGATTTTGTTGGGAAAAAAAAAGATATGTTCTTGTTCATGTTCTGAACTCTGCAAGGCACTCTTGGTATTTCTTCCGATCCCAAACAGGAGTTTCAAATTGTGACTAAACATTGATGGCGCCAGCCAAACAAAACAAAACAAAAACCCAAAAAATACGACTATGGAGGACTTAAAGATTCTTAGACAAAATATGCGTTTCAAGACAAAAAGTTCAGTGTATCATTAAAATCATTCACTCTGTCGTCGACAAAAACATGATTAAAAAGTATCCCCCATGTTTCTAATTTGACGTCTGATCCTCCCACAATCAATAAGGAAGGTTGCCTGGGATTTTATTCCGAAGCATCCCCGGCCGTGCTTCACTCCATGAACACGGACGATCATATTGCTCCCCCCGGGGATGTTTACGACCAATCCCCACCCTCGATTGATCCGGGGACTGGGGGAAAGCAGATCACAAAAGCGATGGACTACGTGGAAAGACTTTCTGAGGGTTTACGCAGAGAGAGTCTGCGAGGGTTTGTCGTTATTGAGACGAACGGGATAGAGACTTCGGAATGGGGTCACCGTGAGCTTGGAGTTGGATGCAGTGCACTTTTTAGACATGTTTTATTATTACTTGCTGCGTTTTCATGACAATTTCTCTCCTGTTGCCATTTTTTTTAGTTTTAAGCTGAAGAGTCAATTTGTTTAAAGGTAACACACAACATTTGCTTTTGCTGTAATTTTCAGAAATGGACAGATTTGGGAGTTAGTATTTTATAGCCAGAATTTTGTTTTGTTTTGTTTATTTCAACAATCCAACTGAAGTTCACTAACATACACGGATCGCTGATATAAAAACAAGGTGATCCGCGGATCGCTCGTGTCGCCTTTTTTCGCGGTCGATCCCTATAATGTAGGTTTTGTGTTCCTAAAAAAAGTCAAATTTTGTGCATTTTAGTGCAATGACCTCAAGGGACCCCTGGATGACCTTTGACCTCCAACTTCGGAAGAGTTGTCATGAACCCCCCCCCCCCCCACCCAAGGATCACTCCATCCAAGTTACATCAAAATCCATCAAATTCTGTAAACAAAGAAACATTTTGAAAAAGATTTGAACAATGACCTCTACATGACCTCTACATGACCTTTGACCTTGGTAATCCGATGAAGAATTGTTTCTTCCCACTCAAATCCATGAAAGCATGTAGAAGTTATACATTTTTTTTCCAAAAACTTAACCTAAACTTTAACATACATGCAGAATACTATTTTGTATTGGCCCAAAGCGAGACGTAAAATCTAGCGGATAAAGCCTACGGCCTATAAGGAATAATGCAAATGTAGGAATGAGCAGGTAAGAGAGAGCCCGAAGTGGACGACAGTCATACGGGGATACGTGGATATAGAATTTAGGACTGGTAAGTATCCCCCAAAACTCCGTTTAGGTGACACACACAAGAATGACGGACCGAACTTCTGAAGTTCTGGGAAATCTCCCAGCTGGTTACCACATGCGGAGATAGCTTTCTTTACACTGTACATGTAATTCAGGGGTGAGATTGGGGGAAAGTCGCAAAAGCCCCACAGCAACGTAGGGTCTACATGTATGCCCATCTCTTTTGTTCTTTATAAACATTTATTGGTAAAAACACCTTTACGGTAAAACCTCAGGAATTCCAGATTACAACAGGGATTCTTATAAAAAATCCCCAAATCATGAGAAATCCAGAAAATTCCCACTCCTGACATTTCCATGTAATTGTTCAAAGGAACAGGATGCATATTTATGGATCTGGTATTGTATATAGAATTCTAAAAAAAAAAGAAGCTAAGGGAGCATACAAACAGTCATTTGTATGTAAATACCATTTTGACCACTAACTCAATGCAATCTTCTCTCCGGTAACCTTTTCTCAGCTTGTGTGGAATTTGCAGCTTAGTCAAATTGGCCGACTGGATTTCAACATCGGTTCTTCTCACGGAGAAAAATGAGGGAAATTCCTTTTTCTTTTTGAACATGTTTTAAAATCTAAAAAAAAACACCCCACAATTTGTTTCTTGAAGGATTCCCCCCCCCAATCTGAATGTGAATGGGTGACATTTACTGAGTTGTATTAGGAAATCTGCATGGGATAAGCGTAGGTTTAGTGTGTGGTTTTTTTTTTGGGGGGGGGGGGGGTGTTTGTGTGTGTGTCTCTCCCCCCTTCCCCCTCCTTTTCCATGTACCCATTCATGGCAAGTTGGGGACAGCTGCATAGAAAAGTGTGGTCTTTTGACAGAATTTGCTTTGCTTGATGGAGATTTTTGTCTTTGTTTTAAGCACTTTATCATCTCCGGCCTCCCTTAATGGCAGGCTGGGCTTTTAAAGCTAATTTTCTTGGAAGATAACTCCTCTTCCCTAAACTAAAAAAAAGAAAGTCAAATCCCCCCCCCCCAAAAAAAAAAAATGAGGGATTTCTTTTCAATCCTCATGTGAATGGTTGGGAGATTTTTTTCGCTAGGAAATCTCCATGGGATAAGCATAGCTTTAGGTTTTTCCCCTTTTTTGGGCGATTTTTTTAGTGTTACTGTTCAGGACAGCTACAAGTAAATGTGTACGCGTGTTCAGGGGCTTAGGTACCGGTACATGTATTTTTGAGATTTTTTTTTTCCCCCAGAATTTTTTTTGTAAAGCACTTTCTCAGGGACATGCCCTCCCTAAAAGGCAGGCTGGGCTTTTATTAGCCAATTTTCTAGGAAGAACTTCTGATCCGATGACAAATGTGATGTTAGAGAAGAAGAAGGGGAAAAAAATGAATTACTACTCATCCATGCCTTGGGAATAACTGCACTTTGAGAGGGTAATTATTTCCTTCTATACCATTTCACCGTTCCGTTCAACTCTGTATTCTAATGTGATTCAACTCTTCTGTGAACTACATTTGGGCAATTCCAGCATTAAATAAGGTGTAATGTCCGTCATGGAACCAATAACCATGATATCTAATTAATGATTCGGAGCAATGATCCAGAACTCCTAGTTTGTAATCTCCTTGACCATTACTAGATGATGGATTTATAAGATTTGAAAAATAACATTTTCAGAGTTATTCACAGAGCTCTTAAAAGCTCTGTCACACACAATACATAAAGCAGGAATTGCCTTCGTTTAAGGGTGGCGGGTGATTGAGTTTTGGGCTTTGCCCAAATGCGTTGATCCAACCCAACTGTTGATCCAACCCAAGTAAAGATATGATGGGGTGTCTGTAACACTGACCTCTAATTAACTGGACTGGCTGACAATGCCCATGCATTGAAGCAGTGTCAGCCATCTTGGGTCCCCATGACATAGCTGCAGTAAACGCAACTTTTTGATTGGTTAGTTGGTATTGGATTTCTTCTTCCAAGTTAAGGCGGCAAAAATAAGAATTTTTTTTTAGCTTTTGGTTTCTGGTTTTTTTTGGACCGCTTTTGAAATTTAAACAATCCGGACTGGCCAAATCCAAAGAATTTATTTTTAGGGGAATTATTGTTTGAACTGGGGGGAAATAACCCTCAACTTCAGAACGTGATGTTTTGGGGATCAAGGATGGAGGATCCGTTGCTTCAGAGTGTAACAGCCAGTTCAGTTTAAATACATGTAGTATAGTCATAAACTACACTGATAGGACTTGGGGGCTAGAATGTTCAACTGGTGGAAGTTAGGGGAACATGGGTTGCACTGATGGCAGGGGTGAGATGGGGGGGGGGAGAAATGAAAAATCCACAAAATAATCGGCAGAGGGTTTGGGGGATTCCAGAGAAACGTAGGCTCTATGGATAGTGTGTTATATGTTTGTATTTGGCTAAAGACACCCTTACAAGAACAATTTCTTTTGTTCTTTATTAAAAGTTACAGGTAAAATATGCCTTTATGGTAAAACCTCCGGAATTCCTGATTTCAAAATGGGTTCTTTAAAAAAAATCCTGAAATCAGGAAAAATCCTAGCAAATATCCTAAAATCGGGAAAAAATCCTGACAAATGTCATCCTGCATTCATGTTCATGTACATCTCTGTAGCAGGATATCTGAAAGTGAGCAAACAAGCGAAAGTGTTTCAAATAGGGGAGGGGGGGGGTGGCAAATTTCCCCCTTGCACCACCCCCTTACACTGCCTACGGACGAGGTTACACGAAGGTTAAACAGTTGTGTTTACTCACTTGGAATATGTATTTTTTCGTTCTGGTCGGCGAGTACTGGGCAAGATGAACTAAATCTCGACAAGGACTCTCTTCTTGCATCCTAAAATGACAGAAAAGAACAACCTTTATAAATTTAAAGTTCAGCAGATTTAGTTTTGGATATCTCCAGCTGGTAAAAACAGAGTGCTTGCTGATAATGGATCTGAGAGATCTAAAATCAATTAATCTTAAAGTTGCTCTTCTCAAGCTACATGTATTTATGAGTTTCACCCTAGGTAAAAAAAGGTGTTTTTTTAAAGGTACATGAGCACATTTGCTTTTTGTGCATTTTTTTTTCGTTTGAAGCAACAAAATTATTCAAAATCTTAAGAAGGGTGCATAACAACTCACTTGTTGAAGTTTCAGCTCAGTGGATCCTACGCACATTTTGAGAAAACAGAGATAGTGTACGCACAATTTTTGGGACTGTCTCGTATCTGGATTCTGATGCTACATCGCAAACTCTGTGCCTGCAGCTACATTTTCTAAAACCACCTTCAATGATTGTTTTCTTTCGAATGGTACCATTTCAGACGGAATAATTTCACAGGGTATTTGATACACGTCCTATCTTCACTTTGAGCAAAGATTCTCTTGTTAAATCGGCAGGTACAAAATGTACGTTTCTGGGTGGTTACAAATGTCTGACATGCCTTTAAATTGCCATTTTACTAGCAATCTTCTTGCTATTTTTCTAGTAAACAATCCGTTTGCATTTTACTTACAAAAATTTTACTTCTCCAAATTTCAAATTATATGCAGCCTTACAATAAATTCAGGCATATCTTTTTGCACAGTATGGACGCAAAAGTAACCCAAAATAAGAGTATATTATCAGTGGGTTGATAAAGTCCGAAATAGAGAAGAAAAAAAAAGGTTTTCGTTTCAACAAACATACATATTAAAAATGTGTTAGGGGAAAAAACATTGATCTGATACACCGTACCCTCTGGAGCTGGTGTACAATAGGGAACAAAAGATTGTATACTTCTCCACAGGGCAATTTCTATAGATGAATACGTCTCCACAAGGTTTTCACGAAATAGATATATGGATTTTACTCAAAAACTTGGAATTTCCAAGCTATGTTGATCGTCGCAAATGGAAGAGTCTTAGAAAAGGGATATTAAGTCCAAATTTCAGCTAAGGAAAATTAATTCTGGTTAAAAAAAAGAGCATTTTTAAACTACACTTTCAAACTCAAAAACTTTAGTACACGAGAACAAAGGAATGTCTCCACAAGGATACAAATTCCAGTATGTGTGAATATGTTGAAAAACATGGGTACACAACTTTAATTTGTAACAAACCAAAAAGAAAAACCAACAAAAATACAGATGTACTTGCACTTAAACCTTCCATGGTAACAAACTGTACAGTGAATCATTTGTCACAATGAGTTAAGCCCGCGGTCAAATTTTGAAATAAAATCTCCAAAATATTGAAATCAAATCCGGACTGATGTTCATCGGCGTAACCGAATCCAATCTAGTCAATCTGACTGCCAGCTTCGGGGACCAGTTATCCAATCCGGCTCCCTGTCATCACAACACAGTGTACACATATGCGCTCCGGTGACGTTGATATTTGAACGTCGCTCAAGCCATCTGATATGATTACAGTTTAATGCCAGCATCTCCCCCTGCTGAGTTGAGCTCATCTGCGGTTCCTTGGGAGTGCTGTGTCTACCTCCACGGTCCGCACGCAAGCTATATCGAGATTACTCCCCCTTCCTGGACACTGCACCTAATTGTTACTTTCTCCTTGCAATTGATTGGAATTTTAGTTTTTTTCATAAGGAGTGGGCGCCAGGCAGCATGCATTCCATTTTTCTTTTTCTCTTCGAGGATCACCCGCATAATCTTGCCAGACGTTCCTTCTCCTTTTTTTTTTTTACAGTCTTGGGATGGTAAGGGTTGCCTAGCAACCCTGCCGGGCTTGGAAAACTGAACATCTGGTACGGGGCAGTAATCATAAATTGGAATATATGCATACAGCACAGCCACTATCTGAGTTTACATAATCTTGCGTCTTCAAGATATTCAAGTTTCAGATTCTGAATTCAGTCAATATTTGACCTACATGTACTTCATCCAACTAAACCATACTAAAGCTAGGCCGAATTATTTGTTAGGGATCTCCCAAGCAGATATTGTGACGCGGTTTGTCACAACCAGGCAGAATTGGCCAGAGCTACAAATGGAGAAGCAGCTGCATGGGGGTGTTTTCCAGCGATTTGGAGATTTTTGAAATTTGTGATGCTAATAACGTTTATAATGTTCTGTGAAAGTTTCAAGACTGAAATTTCATTGACAAAGTACCGGTATACAAGCCCCGCTGAAACACTTTTAGAGAGTCTCATCGTGTAGGCCAGATGCATGAAAATATATCTACATGTACATGTATTTCCAGTGAAAAGCTATTTTGAATCAAATGATTCAAATTTTGTGGGCTCTGCGACTAAATACTAGGACAGCCTTGTCTTAAGTGTTCTTTTATTTATTATTTTTTTGTTCTAAATTTAAGTGATGCTTTCCACAAATTTGTAGCAACTGGTAATTGTCCAGGACAGAGTGGACCATAGGACCTCTGCTGCCTGGAGCAGATTGACCATCGGATTAACATTCATCAGATTGTTCTGTTTACCAGAATTGAATGTGTACTTTGATGTTTACTCAGTGACATTATCTTAATATGCAGCCAGACGGCAGATAAATATAGAGTTCTGTGAAATTTCAAATGAATGCGTGAGAACAAGTTATCTGTGTTGGAACACGAGGTTCGCATGTGTACATGTACTTGTGCAACAAACACATGTACAATATAGACCTACAGTGTCTGAATTGTCTGAATTTTGTGAAAACTGGGCTGGCTTTCCGCTAGGGCTGTGCATCGGAACCTGGTGCCCGAGGACCCGACCGCTGATGTCAGGAACCGGTTCCAGATTATGGAATCGGACAATGGAAAAGAGAGGTTTTGAATGCCATTTGGGAGGAATTTTCAAAATGAAAACCAGGCTACATGGAAAACCAAAACAGATTTCACATTCAGTGATGTGTTCAGATTTTGCATACATTGAGTGCTTGAGCTAACAGGCATGGAAGTACCCTTGTAATGGCCAACAAAACCGTAGCCGTTATATCAAAACCGAATTGGTATGTACATTGTAGTAAAGGAAATTATCAATTTTTTTTGATTGAGTCATCTAAAAATTTAACAGATACCTAAACCCCAAATATGTTCCTGCTTTTTTTTTTTTTTTTTTTTTTTATAAAGTGAAATCAAACCTACAATGATGAGCAGTGCTGTATCAAACATTTAGCTAGAGACCAATCTGAGCACGCTATCAATTCTATCACGAAGGCCCCCTTCAATGGAGAAAGCACTGTGCTAGCTGTTGTTCAGATAATCAGCCACACGGCAGTTGCTTTGTACAATAGTGTGCACAATAGTTTCTCCATTGAAGGGCGCCTTTGTCATGTACAGTAATCATGGGCCTAGATTCGTCTAGAGAACATCATGCACTGCCGGGAGGCAACGTGACTCTATAAACAAGAAACTGATCTCAAAAACTTTTTCTTACAAATTTAAAATCAAACTCTGCCAGCAAATTAAAGGAGATATTCCACACAAAGTTGCCTCCCGTTCGAGATAAATGAAGACACTCATAACAAAGGTTTTTCTTGTTTAAAGTTACAAGCAGTTCCTTACCAGCAGTATTCCCACGCATTTTTGAACTCTGCGTATAATCCATGGTCCCAATCCATCATCCTGCATACTGCCAGCAGAGCAAGCGAGCGAGCGTAAAAAACCCTCTCCACCCAGGATATTGCTAAACCCACACCGCAAAATGAATATATCCTTCGCAAGTGGGAGTATTTAAATCCAAAAAAAAAAAAAGCTGGGATTTCAGAGCAGTAACTAGGGGCCGCTTTTCCTGGTAATTTCAAACATCCTCCAGGGTTGGGGGAGAGGTGGGGGTTTTCTTTCAGAGCCCAACCCAACCAGGTCCATGAAGGAAATGTTCAGTTAACTCCAGGACGATTCAAAATCGCGACTTCCCGTTGAAGGAAGCCCCAGTCAGTCAGTCATTCAAGCTTGGTCATTCTGTCAGCAGCCTTTTTGTGTGCGTTTCCCCAGGAACTTGAGTTTCATATCATTCTCTGCTTCAAATTTGCTTGGTAGCAGATTAAAAATAACTCAGTTTCTCTTGAACTGGCGTAAATGTGACAAGCGATAGCACACCCTCGGGGAAGGGAGGGTCACACGGGCGTGGGTGAAACCACCCTCTTTCTGGCTACTTTTCCAATTTGAGAAATTGCTTATTCAGTTCCGCCAAACTTTTAATGAGAATTGACCTGAAGAGTTAACACCCAGATAAAACAGAGATTCTGTGTCCACTGCCAGCTTTAGAAACATACGGTGTAACAAGAAAAGATAAAATACATTTTGTGAAGGAAACCCAATGAAATCATTGGGGTGCTGTGGTCCAATGGTTACGGTGTTCGACTCGTGTGCCGTGGTACATGGGTTCGAATCCTGACCGTGGGAACATGGTGCTTGTGCTCTTGAGCAAGGCACTTTACCATTGTTGCTTCGTCCTTTCGGATGGGACGTAAAGCCGTAGGTCCCGTGTGTTGTGTAATGCACGTTAAAGAACCCAGTAACACTTGTCACTAAGAGATGGGGTTTGCCCCGGTGTTTCTGGCAGTGGCAGCAATAATGCGCTGCAGCACCTAGCAAAAAGGTGCTACACAATGGGCCTCATATGTTCATATACTTCATTTACTTGTCTTTGGTTGCATTCTTCCCCAGCGCTTTGTATCCTCTGGCAAAAGGCGCTATATAAATACAGTTGTTATTATCATTATTATTATTATTTAAAAAAAAACACAAGGAAAACCCCAACTATTTCAATACTGGATGAAAAGTTTCATACAGCACATCCTATTTAAATTATATTTTTATTAAAAAAAATGAGACAAATGATGCAAAGTCTTACCTCTGTTGTGAGAAACTCCTTGTTGCTGGCCCGCAGCTTCTGAACTTTGGTGTTTAGCGAGTGGAGATGCGCTATGCTCTCTTCTGAAAGTGAGAGGTCAAAACCAGGTTTAAAAGCGCTGTTTGTAATCACGCAGGTATCCATGTTGCCAACTTTTATTTTATCGTTAATATTCCTTTCAAAGGCTTGCCACCTGACGCTAGGAAGATTTTACAGGTTTCTGTCGGTCGCGGTCAAAGTTACATTACCTGTTCAGAGATGTGAAAGTTTTCATTTTTGATTTCATTTTCAGAGTGCAGACGTGGGTACCGTGAAGTTTTTAAACACTGAAGGCACGAGGATTGAAGCTCTTCGTGTGCCTTGGCGAAAGAAAGTACTGTAGCTCTGTTTAAACGATGCACAATTCTCCAGTTGGAAAAAAGTTTGTAAGAGTTTATCTCTATGATGCTAATGACGGCAATGATCTACGAGTTTATGTATTCATTCTTTCGTTGAAAGCGAGGGCAAGAATGATGAAAACGTTGATGATAAAAGTTTGTATCCAAGTCATTCACAGTACAAGAGACATTGCTTTAAAAGCCCAATCCATCTATTTTACATAGAATTTAATAGTTATGGAAACAGCCATAGGCTATCGGTATTTCGCGCCGTGATTACTCGAACACAGTGCTTCCTCGAGCGACACTCCGTCACAATTATTCTACTTCTTTAAATCCTGAGTTTCATTTCCATGAAACTGGCCATTGGCTATTCTATCAATTGCAGGCTTTCCTCTCATGCATGTATACATAACATTTACAAAATGTATACATAATGACGAGAGGACATTGACTTCATCTCCAAAATGTTAAATGCCTGACATCCCACAGCTGACCGCACTGCTTTCTCTGAAGAGACACTAATGAGTAAATACATATGGCATCTATCATGTATCACAACATTCACCATTTGGTTTCATAATGGCACGTTCCACGTCCGTTGAACGACAAGAAAATAAATCATTATCATCATCATCATCATCATCATCTTCTGTCGATTACAATTTTTACATGTCCATGTAGATCTCCATTGGGAATCTTCCAAGAAGTCGTTTCAATGACTTGTGAAAGACATTCAAGGAAAACTCATCTAGTAATGTTTCCAGAGTGCGCGCAATTTTTACGACGCAGTCCGCGAGAACAATCAACGACATCCATCACCAAATTGCGTATCTCCATTAGAAACCTATTAATACCAAGCGACAATCGGCTCGTAGATGACCAATGCGACTGGGGTATCAAAATAGCGCATCAAAATACATGCACCACTGCAACATGATCAAGACGCTGTAAATTCGTGAATGCAATCCAAAGTTGACATCTCCAAAAGAAGCCTGAGAAACAGTTCTGTAACACTTCCAAAAATAAAAGGCAATTCCAAGAATCATCACAGCTAGAGAGAGAGTGGTGCCCAATACAACAAAGAATTGCTTGCACTGGCAGACTTGTAATACTCCACACTGCGTGCACTGCACCAAAACACAGCCGACTGGGCAGGCTCTGTCGGGCTGTTCTCACGCATTCCTTCTATTTCCCAATCACCTTGGCACATGAAACAGCTAATGATTTTTTGTCTTGCCGCCCAGCATGCCAATTCAGCTACCCCTGAGTGGCCGATCTCATTCTTATCAACCTTCATGCCGCTCTTCAGAGCCATTTTTTTTTTTTTTTTTACTCGGGCCATCGTTTCTAAGAGCAACTCTCTGAAAAGTGAAGAGGGCAGGTTGCACAATCGTCCAAGGCCAAACAAATAATTGCAATCATGAATGTACAGCGAGAGTGAACTGAAGTACTTTACATCAATGCTAATATCGACCACACAGTTCATTTAGTAATGCTAAACTGTCAATATCAATCTCAGACCTACAAAAAATAAGAGTATCACACAATGGTACCTCTTAATTTAAAACACTGAAACACTTCTTTTCCTTAAGTTTTGTAGTCATACAATTATCTTCTAAAATAACAGCCACCTTTTTTGTGTAGTTATACAGTATATTATGTTCAAATTATACAGTATACACATGTACCGTATTATACAAATAATGAATGTTTATGATTGCAATGGTAAAAATAAATTAATGAGGTGGCAGATGGAATGTTCCATTCCACGAGGCGAAGAAGGGACCATTCCATCTGTCGTCGAAGGAAACTACTTTTTTTTCCATTGCACAAATGTGAAACATTCATAATATACAAATATTGACTGCTTCAAGTGGTGTAGTAAAACTAGCCTCCCGAGGTGATCCATCGACATTTTATTTTCCCAAGGTGAAGCCGAGGGAAAATGGAATGCTCCATGGATCACCGAGGGAGGCTAGTTTTACTTCACCATGAGATAAAGCATTCAGTATTTGTTTTATAACACTTCACCCACAGATTCTGCTTGGTTTTAATATTTTAAATTATTTAAATCTGAACACCGATAAAATAAGCTTCAATTTCAATTGGGAAATGTATTTCTGTCTTCCAAACCACCCATTTACGAAATGTTTGAACCCAACTCAGTGGCGCGCTCTCTTGGGAACAATACGCGCTATGCACAACACTCAACGCGCACACCAGCATGCATTTGCACACAAATACAGCGCCGTGGATATAGTACTTTGGTTGCTACGGGTATAGTACTTTTGGCCGTGCACAGAAATATAGCAAAAATAGAAAGTATCATGTGACTCGCTCTCGGCCATTCAAGACACAGAATCTGTGGGTGAGGTGTTTTTATTTGTGTTATACAATGCCTGAATATACCCTCGTCATCTGACTAGTAACTTGTAAACTGGTACTATGAATGTACAGCATGAGACCCATCAGAGCAATGGAAGTTCTATTTACTGTGGAATGGAACTTTTATGTTTGTGGTGCGGCTGCACAGTGCGTTGGAAAGCATAATTCAATGACATGTGACCAACGACCCACGCCAAACAGATGACGGGGATTCATTCAGGTGTTGTATAAAAGCATATACTGCATTCACAAGATTGAGTTTGCAATAGGTTTGAACTTAATCAGTGCATTTCATAAAGACTGTAATCACACAGTATCAATGGTTGAGTGCTGAGACTTCTGCACTAGTAAGCAGGAAGTCATGTGTTCGAGTCCCACATGAGTAGTTTGTGAACCTTTTTCTCACAATCAATCGGGACAACACCGAGTAAACGGTGTTTAAACAAATGCGTCGGTGAAGGGCAAAACCCAATATTGAATTATGTACTTTAGCCTCTCAGTATTCACAATTTTGTTTTTTAATTCCAAAAAATACTGAGATCGATTTGAAACATTATTGCTTCTTTAACATTGAGATACCAAGCTGGGTAAACATTCCTGATACATACTGGTGATGTAGCAATTTAATGAAGATTAAAACTACTGTATTCCCTTCAACCTATTAGCAGATGTTCTACATTGTATTAAATTGTGTTTATTCACTGAAGAACCCATAAAACCACAGAGTGGCCAGGCAGTCTCGGGCATTACAGAGAGTGACGGGCAAGGCAGTATGGTTTTTTTTTTTCACGGCACCGTAAATATATGTTCTTGTACACTGAATGTACGGTATGAAAACAATACGCCTCTGTACTGATGACGTCACAATTTGTTTACATGTGCACTTTCCTATGGAGCCAGTGGGGGCCCACGGCCCACTGAGCACCATGGGAAAGCACACACGTAAACAAAGTGTGACGTCATCAGTACAGAGGGTTATTGGTTGGAGTTCAGTTTATCTTATAGTGGCAGAGCAATTCCAGCATTACGAAAGGAAGTGTAATGTCCGTGAAAGAGCCAGTTAACCATGATATCTAATTAATGATTTAGAGAAATGATCCAAAACTCCTTGTCTGTTATCTCTTTGACCATTACTAGACGACAGATGTACAACCGTATATCAATAAAAAGCCTGAAATACTATTAAAAAAAAACCTGACACTACCCTTACCCCTTTCAAAAATGTGTTTTCTGGATGTTTCAGACCAAATCCAGCACTTTCAATTTGTCACATTTTTTTTGCAAAAAAACCTGAATTCAGGTTAAAACCTGAAAAGTGGCATCTATGATGATATAAGATTTGGAAAAAAAAAATGCTTTTTCAGGTTTATTAACTGAGCTCAGAAGAGCTCTGTCACATACATGTACATGTACATTACATAACGCTGGATTTGCTCCGTAGTTTTTCAACAAATTATTTATTCTGTGGACATTCTACTGATGAATAATCTTCAAGCATGTATATGAAGTATATGAAAACATGTACATGTTAATAACCTCCATTTTTTTTGGGGGGGGGGTTGGTTGGCTTTTTTTCATCATGTTTTTCGCCAATTTGTTTGTCAAAACTGAGCCGAATGGATAAGACTTATCGTCTATCCGAGTGTGAGTGCAGTGTCCACAAGCTTGATACACCTTCAGCCCATCTTGGCCAACCGTGGGCTGTGGTTTGTTGCTGCCGTCTTCCCATTCCATGACCTTTTGATAGGCTGGTGGGTGGGCATTCTGACAAGATTCTTGTATGCGGATCACGCTGCCCCGGCATGTCTGGACATTATCCCCCTCCCACCCCCCCCCCTTTCCCACCCCCACTACCTCTTTGAAATGCCAAGGATCTGTCACTGTATCCTTATGGATGAAATTCTATTTTCATGGCATTAATTGTGTGTGCTCTGTCTTAATTTTTGCTATTTTAAGTTTCGCTTCAATGAGAAATCTCCTGCTACTACCGAAACAGTAGGCCATCTTATTGTTTTGATTTATTTTAAGTTTTATCAAGTTTTTAATGAATAATGCAAGTGTCTTTTTTTAATTCTTTTTTTTTCTGTTAGCAGCGCTGCGGTGTCGGACAAATATTTCTACAATGCACATAATGCAAGTTATTAACAAGTGGATTTTAATTTTGATAAAATTTAGTTAATTATTAGGTGTGTAATGATTTAAAAAAAAAAAATGCATCCAACCTTTTTTTGGCTGTAGTAGAAATCGGCTCGTGTCGGACAAACATTTTTGACAGTTCAAGAGTGCGCATAATAAAAGTTATTATCATGAAGTGGATTTTAATTTTGATAAAATTTAATTAGTTATTACATGTGTACTTATTAAAAAAAAATTTCATCGAACTTTTTTGGATGTAGTAGAAATGAGCTCGTGTCGGACAAACATTTCGGACAGTTCAACAGTGTGCATAATAAAAGTTATTATCATCAAGTGGATTTTAATTTTGATAAAATTTAGTTAGTTATTACATTTGTAATGATTTAATAAAAAAAGCATTCATCCAACTTTTTTGGCTGTAGTAGAAATCGGCTCATAACACCACAGTGTTGGATGTATTCAGACAAATTGATTTTTTTGTGTACTGATTAATTAATTTTTCAGTTGAAAGTAACAGCTGAACTGTTCAACATAACCTTCTAAAAATTATAAACATTTCATCTGTTGCATGTGGATTTTTTGAATTTTTTTCATTGATGTTTATAATTCCGTGGAATTGCCCATCTATATCACAAACTTGTACAATCACAAATCAATGTACATGTACATGTAATTCGTTCGCTTTTTGACAAGCTAGCTGAAAAGACTTATCAGGGGAAATCAGTTTTCATCAAGGTAAATTTGCTCAGTCCGTCCTCGGACAGAAATTTTCTGTTTGCTCAGAAACAGAAGAATCGCAGATTACATTGTATCAACCGGCAAACGCTTTCATTGTCATGTTAATGGCTTTTGAGTAGCCCGATGTTGCAACTGGGTCGACAAGATAAGGACCGAACGGTCAGTCCGGGCTTACGGGCGAAATGTCAGAGCTAATTAAATCCCTGAACGACAGAACCACTCATGGTAATGCATGCGTTAGCTTACTTCTGCCATTTGGGATTTACAACGGCAAGTTGTAAAAATCTATTCGTATGTCTGTTTCAATATTTCCTCGCATCGGAATCATAATTGTCTTTTTAGAAGCAGTACTGAAGAGTGCATTCAGTGGAGCATTATGCATTTGCATAATCACGGTTACTTTTCGTAGAACTTTTTAAGAAAATCGCTTGAATGAGTTGACCAAGCTAGCCAAAAACAATGGACAACAGCAGGCCATTCTGGCCGAGCTGGTTAGAGGTCGAAATGAGGGTTTGCGGGTATTAGGAAAGAGAATACAATTCTTCTTACAACACCGTTTATTACACTTTAATCAGACATTCCAAAGACAAGTTTATATGGCTGTTGAAAGTTTGCATTTATCGACAGGTCTAGAAAGTATTAATACTGAGAAAAAGGCTCTTAAAGTTTCAATTTTTGTATTCATGAAAAAAAAAGATGCTAATTGTTTTTCCCTAAAAACTGTTTTATTTCATGATATGTGCAGTAGACATATCAAAGATTACAAATATCAATAAATTTGAAAATCAACAAAAAATCACCCGCAGTTTTGTCTCATTTTGCCAGAACACCTCACAATTGTCTTCAACCACAACAACCAAAGGCAACATTTTTGAAGACAAACAGAAACATATATTTGAGAAAAACATAAAACATTTTATATCATTTTATGAGCCAGTTATAACATGTACAGTGTACATATAGATGTACAGATTTTTGCTGTTTTCAATACAATTTTGAAGTGCATCCTAGTGTTATATTTTAATTTCAAGTGTCCCCGTGCCTGTTATAAGGTTGGTAAGTCGTCTTTTTGGGGGGGGGGGGGTGGGAGGCTTTTGGTTTAGAGGCTTACAAAGTTATTAAATGTGTATATTCACAAACAAAACCGTGATGTCATGCAAGGCAGAAGCTTCAGTGTTTCAGTAGCAAAAGTTGCTAGCATCTTGGGTTTTGCCGTGGTAAACTTTCTGGGCTGTTTTTTTTTTTGGGGGGGGGTGTTTTTTTTGGGGGGGGGGTGTGTTCATTGTTTATTCAGCACACAACAATCAGGTATTTAGAAAGCATTTGATACAATTGTTTTCAGTAAACCACATTTTGGGTTCATGATTTGTATACTAAAATCTGCAAGCTGTATATAGATCCCATCCTGATGTGACATCACAGCTCAGTGCCCTAATTTGTAAGGTACATCATGGGACATTTTGAAGGTAATATACAACATTTATAAACATCAAAAAAACAAAACTACGGAATTGTTATGAAATAGCTTACTTGACTGTAAGTCAATAATAGTCTCAAGCATCATGTGAAATCATGGCACCTGGTGTGCTGTCATTTTCAAGAAAAGTGGAAGTTTTGTATCAATTTCCAATGATGATCAGCCAACCATTATTGGAAATAAAAATACTTTTTTCAAATACTGCCCCCAATTTACCAAATTTAATTAATCCACATTTTGTTTGCAATCCGCTACGCATCCGTGAACGGGTGCAAGCAAGCTAGTCTGGTTCCCTGACCTGACAATTTCCCGACACCTATAAATTGCTCCATTTCGTCTGAAGTAGGGTCAGTGAACCAGACAACAAGTACAGCAATTTTTTTTTCTTGTTTTTTCCAACATCTATGAACACAAAACTTTAAACAGGTCAGTGTAACAATATTTGCTATAAAATACTAATTCTCAAACCCATCAATTTCTGAAAATTACAGCAAAAGCAAATATTGTATATTACCCCTAAATGTTGTAAAAGTACACTTACACATATATAAAAACCTTAAAACGTTGTCGTATAATGTTCATCCAGTTCAGAGGAATGGAATATGTTTCAATGTAAAATTCATTTCATGGACCCTTTAACATAAATGTCATTTCAAACCATTTGTTCAAAGTTCACATAGAGAATTGTTTGCGGTGGACTTTGTACAGAAGTGGCATGATATGGTCTGTGTTGCTAAATTTGAACAACAAAGCAATGTACAAGCATTGAATTTATTGAAGGGATTACATGGATATACATGAAATGCTTCAGGGTAACTTGGTTTGTAAATCTGTATTAAACATCTTCTGGGCAATTTCCTGAGTGATATTGTCTGAAATCAAACAAAACCACTTGAAACCAAACAAAATGTTGTATAAAGAGCAAATTACATTGTACTTCGCATCCGTGCCAAAAGTTGCAATGACGAACACTGAACAGGGACATTTTATAAATTTGTGGTCCAAAAGTGTGACATTTTGCCGTCCCTGTTACACTTGACCTGTGTGTAATTTGACATGCAAATATCATTAAAATTGACTTCAAACCATTTTGATTTGTTTAGCAGGCACTTTTGCATTACATAATCTCTGTTGGAGGTAGAAGGCATTAAAGAACGTGTTCTGAATTTACAAAATCGTATGTCAGATGTAACAGGGAACCCCCCCCAAAAAAAATAAATAAAAAAAATTGGACCCCAAATTTAAAGAATGACCCAAAAGCATAAAATGTGCAGTCTGCGAAGTTTGAAAATATCAGCAATTTTATTTGAAAGACACAAAGAAAGCAGTTTTTGCACAACAGAAATTGCTGGGCGATTGATTTTTTTTCCCACAAGGGAAAATAGCAGGAGATCAGTGGCAAGTAATATCCAGGATATGATACCTGCATTTTGCTGGTGGTATTTCTTTTTTCTTTTCTTTTCTTAGACTGTCTTTGGAATCCAATTTCCAGAAGTGTCCTTTCTTTGTAAGTCTTTAATTTCCCCTTTTTGAAAACAAAAAGATATCGTAGTTCACCCCACTTCGAAAGGTCACGCCAAGTATTACTGTGCACACAGCATTCGGCTCTACCTATTAAGAACCCCTGAAATATTGCCAAAACACTCTTGAGAGTAGCCATGATACTGGGCATCTCTCCTGAATGCAGAAAGACAATTTATCTGACTGTGTTGTTACTTTCCAGACAAATTGTGTGCTCTGGAAAAGAAAAAATTCTTGAGTTGAGTTGACATTTCTCTAGCACACCAAGGGAGAAGTCGGAGAGAAGTTGCTGAACATTGCAAGGTATTTGGCCTGAAATCTATGTGTCCGTTTTCGGTTTGCGTAATGCATTGCATTGCGTGTTACCAGTTGAGTATCTGCGATACGTATTCTGAAAATCCGTGCGGTTGTATTTCTTTGAACACTTGACGGACTTTTGTAAAAGTAAAAGCAGTTTTGTGACTAGAAATAATAGGGGCAGTATTTGGAAAAAAGTCAGGTTTTTTTTAATGATGTTCGGCCGACTATCGTTGGAAATTAATACAACAATGCCACTTTTCTTGAAAATGCCAGCACACAAGGTGCCATGAATTTACAGAATGCTTGAGACTATTATTCACTTACAGTCAAGTAAGGTATTTCATAATAATTTCTTAGTTTTGTTTTTCGATGTCTGCAAATGTTGTTGCTAGGAAGTCAAGAGCTGGTTGCAGCCAAGCAACTGATAATATTCACACTGGATTTACGCTAAAAAGCCACCATAGACAGTCTGTCAATGGAATAAAAAAAACTTGTACACAACGGCACAGGGAGCTCATACACCAAACAGGCGAAAACTGGGTCACTGTCAAATCTGAGTTTTCCCTGTGTTTTTTTTGGGGGGGGGGTGTTTTTTCCCAAAATTCCCTGCGTTTCCTTGACTGGAAAATTGTTTTCAAGGTTTTTCCCTGATTTCCGGAGTGACTGGGAACCTCGAGTTTTGAGTGTCTTAAATTTTTTCTCTGAAGGAGATTAGGGTTTCTCACCTAGTACTGGTTCCTCAGGAATGTCATCTTCTCTTCCAGTCTCTTCTTCTTCGTCATCTTCGTCATCTTCGTCATCATCATCGTCATCTCCCCTGTCCTCCAAGTCATCATCAGCTGAGGAAAAGAAGTCAACGTTTATCACACATATTACTAGAGCTGTGAGTTGTTAAATATATCTCAGTGTACAGATACCTGAAAGACTATCTTAGTATTCCATTATGTGAACCCGGCGTAGTGTAGAAATTTGACTCTATGAAATACAATCATTGGTTGTATTAGGCATGCCTGAGTTAAGACAGAATTAAGACAGTGACAAGTCACATACATAAGATAAAAAGAAACCAGATCTCACAGGGATCAAAATTTCATGACACAGGATTCATTTGAATATTGAAAAGTTCAAGGTATGAGCTCCGTGCACAAGTACTTCTCGGCAGTACGGATGGGAGAGTTGGGGGAGACCACTAGGAGAGACATTCAAACACATTGCGCCTGACGCTATTTGACTCTGTGCACATTCAGTATAGAAATTCCTTCACTCTGTAATTACACGAGAACAGCAAATTTTCCAAATGGTCCGAGTTGGTCCGAGCAGCAGAGGAGCGGCGTGCCCGCCGGCACACTGTGACCATCGCACCTCCTGGGCCCGCTCACTGGTGCCCTGTGTGCGGGAGAGGATGTCTGTCACACATCGGACTTTGTAGCCATCTAAGAACCCATGAAAGTAGGTGACGTGGTGTGGTCTTCTGCATCAGAACCTACTACTACAACTACTACTAATACTCTTTTTAATGATCCTTCCAACAAATATCGTTTCATGGAAAATGTATTTTCGAGCCAAAATGGGCTCCGTTAATGCAAACTCAAGATTTTGCGCATCCCCAAAGACCTGCTTGGCAAGGTGAAACTAAAATCAAGAAACGAACCACACTTTAAAAGTAATTGCTCGCTTTACCGTCCCCCAACAATCAATCTGGTCAATATAACTTCCAATCTCCACCCCCTATCCACTCTCCTATTTGGAACAGAGATAAGCACGAAGCATGACCCACGGCAAAAGAAACTCTCCCCCAGCTTCTGAAGTCGTTATGACAAAACATGAATGTATCCTACAGCTGTGGCGTCATGTTAAACAGCAACTTGGTAACAATTTCATTTCACCTGTGAAAACTTTGCCCGGGGGCTGGATGTATAGTATTTGTTTCGAAAAGCCGAGAGAGAGGACGATGGGGTGCTAATATCCGTGTGAATATCGCTGTACATTTGTCCTTGGGCAAAAAGTCGCAACGATCCGTTTCACGCGCAAAATGCGAGACTCTAATGAAGAGGTATCAGCAATGCTTTGCTCAGTTGTGTTCAACGCATGTCTGTTGTTTCACCTCTGGGCATACTGATGGCTGCTTTATTTAATCAAGCTGGCGGAAGCTCGTCAGGGCATGAAGGATTTTTTTTTTTTTAATCAGATTCTGCATCAGTGTACGGGGAATTTGGAGCGTGAGCAGATTCGACAACTTGATAGCCCCATTTTAACAGAATAAGAAATTCAGGATGTCTGGCGTTGGGGTTATTGCTGAAAAGGTTTTTTGGGGCGGGGGGGGTGTTTGTTTTTGTTTTGTTTTAATGTTTTGAAGGGGAAGGGATCCCTGACTACAAAGTATGTATAAGTGTTAGGGCTGCCGACAGGCACCCTACTCAAGTTCAGTTAGCTTACCCAGGATTGCAATGAACATCTGATAATTCAGATAATTTTCAATATAAGCACTGTCAAACTAGTTTCCAAATCAAATCAAAATTATGTCAACTTTTTCGCAGGGAGGAAAAGGAGAATTATGCCCGACTATGAAATTGTTTCAAGATTTCATTAGGGGTGCAGGCCTGTAAATAGGCCCAACTTTGCCAACGCCGGCCAAATCACGAAATGCATGTCCTCAATTTTTCTGCTATTAGAGCATTTTGTGGGCCATGAACTTGAGGTTTGTAAATAAAGAATGCTGGAAGCCGTGAACGGGACTGCGAGTTACCTACTTCTGTGACATTGGGATGAAGTTCAGCCCTAAAATCGCGCTATTTTGCAATGGAGCGTAGGCATCATTTTTCAAAATGGCGACGGTATTCAGGACTACTTTTAGGGGTGATCATCTTTGGATGGAAATTTCCCCCAAAAGTCATCGCTTAATCCCCCAACAAATTCAACAGAAAATGAAAGATGATGAAATAAGCTTTAATTTGATGTGTTTTTCAAACACCTTGGAGAATTGTGAATATTTGTTCCTATTTTTTTGAAGTAGGCGTAATTATCACTGCAGTCTATGGCAGCTTTTTTACAGGTCTAAAACTTCAGATCAGTAATGACATACATGCACCAGTAATGATAACCTTAAGATAATTATGACTATTGTATTCACAGATATGTACGTAATTACAATGGCGTCCAAATACCAAGGAAACATTGTTTACATGTATAATGACATATTTTCTGAGTTCTTTAAAGGCGACAGTGAATTGTATGAGACTGTGAATTGTACGGCAACAGTGAGCTGTGTTTGTATGTGACTGATGAAGTGTGCAGCTGAAATTTATGTATAACATGCGACAAGATTTTCTACAGTGTGATGAATGCGCCTGAGAATTTCATGTGGCAAAAGTCTTGTTCGTTTCTTACAGTTTGGCACATTCAAAATGCAATGACAGAGCAATAGGGCTCGTTCAATGACGGCCATTTCTGTAGGAGAACTGCAACTGCGTATTTTACGCAATCAAACACGCATTGCGCAGAGTTGAAAATGTTCCTAACAAGCGCGCTTGTTGCTCGAGATGTGTTCGAAATACGATGCAGCCGACGCACGTTATGCAAATTTACGCTCAAAATACCGATGCACGTGGATGGTCTGTAGGAAATGACGTCTTATGAATGAGATCTATATGGGACTTAAAAAAAGTGGCGTGTTCAAAACTCCGATTTCCAATTTACTTTAAACAACATTTTCTCATTTCTTGGTTAGAAACCCACTTGCGGACCCCGGCAAGCTCGGTGGTCATGTGGTAAGACATCTGCACTAGAGAGCAAGAGGCCGTGGGTTCAAGTCCAACCCAAGTACATGTAGTTTTTGAATTATTCTCACTTGGGCCAAAATACCTGAGTATACGGTGTTTATCAAATATGTCAGTGACGGACAAAACCCTACAGGGTTTAGGCATTCTCCTGAAGACGGTCAGAGCATACTGACCGGAACGTCGAGTTTATACCTCTGGTTCTTTTCAGAATCATTCTCTTAGTTGAGAAATTATTCGCACATGGTGTTTCCGCAAACCTTTCATTATTGAGAAACCAGGAGGCAAAAAAAAAAGTTTCAAGCTACTTTGACGTTTCATTTTCTGAATTTATTCTTTCTGGATTCTTACCTGCTGAGAAGTACTGTTGGCTGGACTGCTGTGAGGGTGCTGTAGGTGACAGCATTTCTGAGGGTAACCGTGCCGGTAGGCTGCCTGAAATATGCAAATTGTGAGGATGAAAGATTAGAACCCATTCACACCTGCACTACATTGTATTACATTGTATTACATTGTATTATATTGTATTTATTCCCTGATGAATTCATAAACCATAGAGTACTTGGGTGGTTTGAGGCAGTACAGGGTGTAACAGGCAGGGTAGTTTAGGATTGTCAGGGTTTAATGGGGGAATAAGCCTGTGACCATCATTCTGTGCAAAGTTAACAGGGAAAATCTGAACCCTTGCAAGCCCCACAAAACAAGAGTTAATGGTAACATACAACATTTGCTTTTTGCTGTTTTCAGAAATGGATGGATTAGGGGGGTTAGTATTTTATGGCAAATATTGTTACAATGTTTAAAGTTTTGTGCTAAAAAATGCTGGAGAAACCAAGAAAAAAATGTTTTTCTTGTAGTCTGGTTCCCTGATCCTATTCAGATGGGGGAATCATCAGGTCAGGGCACCTGACAAGCTGGCTTGGACTAATGATGAGCATCGGGTTGACCAGGCCAAACCGACCCGAAACATTAGAGATATAAACTGAATCCGAACCGAAACCGATCATAACTCCCTCAAACCGACCCGACCCAACAAAAAATAAGGTAAAACCGACCCGAACCGACCCGAAAAAAAAACCGAAAAAAAAAAGAATACCTTGCTTGGACAAAGTGATCACTTTTTTGTGCTTGCCCTCCTTACCCACGTGGCATGAATTCTGTTGCAAAACTATCGTCTCTCTCTATTTCATTCTCAGTGGATTGATCGAGAGTAACTCCGCTCATTGAACAAATGCATGGTATCATCACGCGGTATCATGAAAACTGTTACAATGTATCTATTTCACTGTCAGTCCCATCGACTGGAGAAATTAATACCGTGGGAACTTGATAGTGCACTCGGTGGCCACACCACACTAGGGCTGCGGTCACAGTGACTGTCAATAATACTGCATCACCTAAATTTCTCAACTGTTTCGGTTTATTTCGGTTTAATTCGGTTTATTTCGTTTTTTTCAAAAATGGCTAAACCGACCCGACCCGACCCGAAAATGAAAATTCAAAACCAAAACTGACCCGACCCGACTTAAAAGATGGACAAACCGACCCAACCCGAAGTCGGTTTCGGGTTGGGTCAATTTTGGGTCGGGTTTGCACATCATTAGCTTGGACCCATTTACGGATGTATAACTGATGGCAGACAGAATGTGGATTAACTAAATTTGGTAATTTATACGAAAATTCCACTTTTCTTGAAAAATGACAGCACACCAGGTGCAATGATTTCACAGGATGCTTCAGATATAATTCACTTCCTATCAACTTAGGTATTTCATAATAATTTGGTAGTTGTTGTTTGTTTGATGTTTGCAAATGCTGTATATTACCTTTAAGGGGTACTGCCATTTAAAAGACAAACTTTCTGCTTACCCACTGTGAAGTAGTCTGGACTAGGCGGGTCACCCGTGGACCTGGTTGGGGGACTGTCGGCTTCTTCACCCATGAAGCTGACTAGATCCCTCAGCATTTGAATATCACCCTCTGTGATAAAATGAGAACCAACAAAACTTATGGTTATTGTCAAGTTAGTCAAAAATAACAGGGGATGAACAGCGACAATAGAATGCCACTCTGTCACAATTTATTTGTGACAATATATTTGTGGAGCGCTGTGGTCCAATCGTACGGTGTTCGACTTACGTGCCGTGGTATGTGGGTTCGAACCCTGACAAGGAACACGGTGCTTGTTACATACTAAGCCACAACTTAAGAATAAAATTAAGTAAAAAAATGAAAATTTAGAAACAGCTGTTATTCTGGTTTTATTCTTTAAAGTTTCACATCCACGCAAAATTTTCACCTTCTTCACATGGATATGTCGCGTTTTTGAAATAAACTCTTCACTTGATCACTGCATTTTGAAATCGTACATTCGAATATTCGATCAGGTCCAAATTGTAATAATCAGATACCAAATTATTTGGCAATGCACAGCCCTGGCAGCCTGTTTCTATTCCCCCCCCCCCCCTTCCCGTTTTCATGAGATAGTCTTTCCGAGTCCTTACCTAACGTCCGAGAAGCCTCTGATGTGTTGGAGGTAATGGTTGCTGTGCTGTTACTGTGCCGTTTGACTGTCACAGATTTGCTCTGCACCCTGCCGAGTTCTGCAAGGTGATGCAAACTGCCACCGAAGCAGTGCCTGTTCATTCAAAATAATAACACCTCTTGAATTTAAAGGGAAAATACAACATTTGCAAACATCAAAAAATAAAACTACCAAATCATTTTGAAATACCTTGCTGGACTGTTAGTGAATGACAGTGTAAAGCATCCTGTAAAATCATGGCACCTGGTATACTGTCATTTTCAAGAAAAGTGGTATTTTTGTATCAATTTCCAACGCTGATCGGCCGATCAGCGTTGGAAAAAAACTGGCTTTTTTCAAATACTGGCCCCAGTTGACCATCGCACTTGTTTGCAATCGATTACACACCTATGAACGGGTACAAGCCAGCTAGACTGGTTCCCTGACCTTACAATTCCCCAATGTATGTAAACTGCTCTGTTTCTTCTTAAATGGAGTCGGGGAACCAGACTACAGGAAAATGATTGTTTTTCTTGATTTTTATAGCATTTTCAAACCCAAAACCTAAAAAAAGTCAGTGTAACTATATTTGCTATATATTTCCAACCCCCCAATTCCATCCATTTCTGAAAATTACAGCAAAAGCAAATGATGTATATTCCCTTAAATGTACAGTGTTGTAGTCGAGTCCATCATAAATCTTTTTATTAATTAATAGTAAATCACAAGTCCAGTCACAAGTAACAGGGGGTGGACAATCAAGCCGGCCTCAGGTCAACCTGCGATTTGCTTGCGCAGCGACGGAACCATTGGCATCAAGCACAAAAGTCATGCTCAGGTCAGGAAATTGAGAAATAGTGTGATTATCGTTGAACAAGTGGCATCTCGAAACAGAATAATCGCAACCATGCTCACGTCACCCACGACACGACGACAATTCACAATCAATTAGACAATCCCGGTGTGTCCACGACATCGTAACTTCACACAGATCGACTGTGATTGATTCCCACTTTTCGGGAACATGCTATTGATTCCCACTTTTCGGGAACATGTTCTGTCGCAGCGCAGAAGTTGAATTTTTAAAAGCCGCTTTTCAGCTGGTTGCAGACGCCCAAAAAAAGAGGACCAACGTTTTCCTGCGTATCCTGGTCCATGTGCATAGCTTAACCAGCACATGAACCAGAACAAAGACAAATGACATTACACTTCAGTACTCTATAGAAGTAGTTTTTTATTACAATATAAAATCCGTTGGGACTTCATCATAAAAAAAGGGGGGACAAAATAACTTAGACAATTTTTTTTGTATACATTAAAATATTTCTTACTCGTTCATACGATCGGCTAAGTCGTCTAACCCGTGTGACCGGGCGAGGGCCACGGCCAGTTCTCCGTGCTGATTGGGTAACCTCAACGCCACATCACTGCCGGGCTTATCCAATAGATACTCGGCAAACTGCGGCAGATTGAAGCGGGCGGCAAAGTGAAGGAGGGTTTCTTGGGGTGGTGGATCTGTGCGAGAAAAAAAAATCACTGAAATTTGTATTATTTTAATAATAAAGTAGCTCATGAACATTGGAATGAAGCAGAGTCAACTTTGTGTGCATTTTGTCTCTGTGCGCAAACAAGAGGGCAGGACAGGAAACACTGCATGCGCATACTGGTTCGTGCGCACGTAGCGCAAAGTGCGCACGACTTATTATATTTTAAATGTGCACACTGCCACAGCGTCTTTGCGTGAGCGTCTTTGCTTGAGTGTCAGGCATCGTCAGCAATGCGTTGGAATGTCGCTCCCCGTGGTCTCCTCCAACTCTTCATTTCTCACTGTTGAGGTGATACTTGTAGCACGTAGCCCATACTTCCGCCGTGTTCTTTATTCAAAGCCGAAACCAAAAGAAGTCTAAGTTGTTCAGTTCAAGTACAAGTTTTGCACTGTATGTGCAGAAATTTGCATGTGTGCATTAGGTCTACACCTTTGATTCTTCAATCTCGGCGGACATACTGCAAAAACACAATCAACCCTTTACCTTTAACTAAAACTCCAGCAACTGCTCAGACAAGCCGCAAAGAAAAAGGCTGACAGAATGAGTCCGACAGTTAGCAATGCTATATCTTTCCAATGATTGCTGCCAGCCAACTCCTGCTTGCGTTATTACCGTAACTGAGAACCGAACTCTCCTGCGAGACACGGCACAGTAGCCCTCCGATCCAGAGGACACGTGATTAAAAAAAAAAAAAAAAAGCGGGTTAATCTACAGACAAGTAGAAATTGAACACGGGCACCGGACAGAATGTTCCCTGAATCTTCCAACAACCGTCTGACAAAAAAAATTTCAAGCCCCAAAACTGCACACACTGCACAGACCCAGCCAACAGATCAAACAAAAAGGTCTCAAAGTACACGCAGTGCTTCCCTTGGTCCTAACTGCCAAATATGGATAACAATCTTTACGAACAATTCACAATGGAAAAAGAGAAAACGTCACGCGCTAGGTATTTATGAATATTTGTTTGCGACTGACGGCAAATAGTACAAACATTTACAAGTAGGCTCACGGGTGTTCTCCTTGATTCGAAATAGAACTTTTGTGGGTTAAAGTACAAAAGAAATCATTAACCATAAAAAAAGGAAACCACGAGGTTTGAGAGGATTTAAGTATGCAGATTGATATCAGCAAGATGATAGAAATAGACATTTTAAAACCTGAAAATAGGCAATTTCATAACTTAGTGTGACGTCAAGTGTAATATGTACTGGAATTTTTTTATTAATGTGGAATTTTACGTGATGTAAGTAATGACGCAAACTAAACAGTTGTAATCAGTTCTTGTTTGTTACAAAAGTTAGAAGGGAAAAAATGTGTTTCTGGTAAGATTGCCAAAAGGAAGGGTCAATAGATGCAAGTACACGATGTAAAAACACATGTATTTTTAGATTTTTTGTATTGCTATTTTGTTTTTTTTGTACATGTACAACTGTACAAATCACAAGTATACACTTAAATTTTCGAGGACAACTGGAGAAGTACAATGGTACAATGTACAAAAAAAATGTAGGTATACTTTTAAGAAGGTACATTTACTTTATTGCATAATTGCACATGTACATTGTACATGCAAATGTACAAGTTTACAATTCCAGACTCGTATTTCGGATATGTTTTCACGTCCAGAAAATCGTGTACAAGTGTATATTAAAAATATACTTATCAACTATTAAGTAATGTATACCAAAAATGTTCGCCTCAGTCGCTTACTGGAAATACAGTTGGCTTTTTTTGGTTCGTGTTTTTTTTTTGGGGGGGGGGGCACCCCCAAATACCTATCCCACAGACAGGCATACAGTATTTGTAGTTGAATTCTATCCAATGTACACGTACAGTACATACTGTATATATGTAAAGGTGCCTGAAATTACCATGCGAACTTGTCCTATAAACATGTAAACTACAAGAAAGAATGGGATCTCCAACCACAAGCCCATAAATCATGTACGTGTACATAAATGGATCCTGCTGTGCCATGCATGCATGTGTGTCTGTCTGACATGTGGGTTATGCATGGCCAGGCTGTCACGGTATGGCACCCTAGCAAGACACAGTAAAGTCTGAGTTTAAGGTTGATTTTCCACTAGTGGCTGGTTTTCCACTAAGGCCAAAAAAAAAAGTCTCCGGTTTCTGGTATGGTGCTTGCCCAAAAAGTGGTGCGGCGACGCGGCTTTTTTTTTTTTACAGTTTTTTTTGCTTCAAATGTCGGCTGATGACTACAAATGGTGCCCGACTAAACTTAGTGCAAATATTATGGGAGACCAGAGAGGCCACATAAAGCTTATTCTCGATCATAACCCATCTAAAAATACGTTAAAATTGTGCAGCAGCAGGATTCCAGTCAAACCAGTGAGTTTGGCAGTTTTGAGACATCATCTTTCATTGAAAAAAAAACACTTTTTCATTTTGCCGACGCGCATGGCTACGGCGACGCGCGCGCATACCAGAAACCGGAGACTTTTTTGGGGGGCCTTAAGGTTGGTTTTCCACTAGTGGACTCTTAATACCAGCCTGACACAGCACTGGACAAGAAAAACAATTTCTTTCTCTAAAACAAATCAGCCACAATTTTGTTTTTCTGCGACATCTTAAAGGGTCACACATTGTGCATGGATGTTTCAAAACGTGGGTTCAGTAGGAGTTCTGCCCAGATATTATGTAGTAGAAGTTTAAACATTGAAGAAACTAATAATCAATTAAACAAAACTCTTTTGGCATAGAATATTAACATTTTCTCTTCCTTAAAAACAAAAACTCACAATAACACTTGCACTTTGCATGTAAAAATAAGGTGTCAAAATGACTTCCTAAAATCCATAATTTCAGGCGAACACCAGTTTTTTTTGACAAAACAAAATACTGTTTACCATACTTCAACTCACTGCCACATCATTCAAATGAAAGGTCTTGTTTTTCCCTTTAATATGATACCACATTTGAGGTTATGTATGGTGCTCGTAATTTTTTTTGAAGATTTCATAAACGTTCTATTTTTTTTTTTAGCCATGTCCACATTCTCATAGAATTGCCCAAAAGGCAAGCATAGTTAGAGTTTATCGATACAGTTTTAAGGGAGGTTGTGAATAAGTTAATTATACATATAAAAAAAAGTAGGGTGACCACCTTTGGTAGTTTTTAGTGAAAAAAATCCACCCTTTTCATCATTGGAATCTCCATTCACTTTCGACAGTATTTTCAGACAAACCCACACAGGCTGCACAACCTACACCTTTAGGCACAACCAATACGTTTTTTGACACCCTTTTGAGTACACCAACTTTGACACAGCTATTCAGAAACGATCCAGGGGTAGTTTTTTTTTTTTTTTTTGAACACGTGAGAGTTTTTATTGTTCACAGCAAGCAGCCGGGAATGAACCTGTCCACAAACATAACCATCAAGTTACATGTAAATACCGGGGTATACCGGTACATGTATGTTCAGTTTCTGTTGCAATATCCGCAAAAGTATCATTTTGTACACTTGGCTGTACAATGTATGTATGTTACATACGGTAGGCTGTAAAAATACATTTGCTGCTTCATGTACATGTACATTTGTATACATCTACATGTACCCGTATGTTCAGTGCACATATACATGTATGTACATGTACTTACAATGTCCATGTTCTTGCCAAGGCGGATTCAGAACCAAGTGGGCTAAAAAAAATTAAAGGGGAAAATGAATTAAGTATAGTATTGTGCGCTATTTCCACATTTTAATATTAACACTAAAAAGTATGTGTAGCCATGGGCGTCGTCAGGATTTTTTTCTAGAGGGGGCAAAGCTCTCAAAAGACTTTCTCTGGCATATTCTCAATTTATCATTATTTTTAGGGTGGGCGGGGGACATTTGCCCACCCCACCCCAACCCCCGCGGACGCCCATGTTGTTAAATGAGCATTAATTAAATGAACAGAAATATGACTTCGCACCTCGTCTTCTCTTCTTTTTTTCCCTTTCTTTGTCTCATTGGTTTTTTTTTTTTGGGGGGGGGGTTGTTGTTGTTGTTGTTTGGTGGGGTATTTTTTTGGGGGGGGGGGGGGTGGCAACCTTTTCCCACCACATGGATCTGCCAACAGCTCCTGCCTACCGTACATTACCTGCACATACATGTACATGTACCTTTTGAATCAATTAATGCGATACTCATCTGAAATTCTACAGCAAAGTGCACATCCTGGTACAATAGGTCAACTGTGCCAACATAAATACACAATGTCCTCATCCAATGGAAGGCCAAGAGGATTAAGGATCAGCTCAAAATGGATTAAGCTCTTAACAATAATGTATGAGTACTTCTACACGGAAATGCATGTTAATAACTGTACATCAAATGTGTACGCATGCACTGGAAGATGGCCTACTGAATTCATGAAGTGTGTACACTTTGGGTGCTCAAAAAAACTTTTACAGTTAGTTACATTTATTTAGCAACCAACTTCAGATTTTGAGCAATTTTGTTGCTTCAAACCAAAAAAGCACCAAAAAACCCCAACAATCCTACAAACCGTTGTGAGAAGTACATGTACACGGGTACCACACAAGTAAAACATGTACATGTACACATGTACTTTATCAGTGGGTAAACTCAGATTGCCATTACCATTAATTCATAAATTTTGAGCAAGACTTATTCAGGTTGCAGACCAGTAAATCCGTCCGAAATTGCCTACGCCGGCCAAATCACGATTTGCATGCCCTCAAAATCTTCAGTATTTGAGCATGCCATGAGCCATGAACTTGAGGGTTTGTTAAAAATATGGGTGGAAGCTGTGCACAGGACTTGTAGCTTGTAGAACTTTCCGTTCAATTTGGATGAAATTGGGGCCCTTAAAGCGCTCTATTTTGCAATGGAGTGTAGGCATCGTTTTTCAAAATGGCGATGGGCTTCAGGACTATTTTAAGGGGTGATCATCTTCGGATGGAAATTTCTCCTAAAAGTCATCAGTTGACCCCCCGT